TCTTATACAGTTGTGCCGGGTGCTCTGGGAGCCGTCATGGCTCCTACATCCTCGAGGACCATTGTTCTTGTGATGCATTTGATGGTCCAGGTGCAAGGACTTGTTACATAAGACCGAGGGAGACCAAATGTGATGATGGTTAATGACACATTACAAAACCTCCTTACTGAGGCCAAGTATGTATATAATGCAGCTCAATTTCATCCTGAACCATGGAGGACCATATGATAAACCTCCTGAAGGTGAGGTTCCACTGCATGCATGGTTCTGATGGAGTCCTACAGTATATTCCAGACAGAGTCTGGTGCAAAATACTAGCAGACTGATCTACACAATTGGTGTAGGTGATAAGGGATTATGCTCAATGCTGAGAAACTGGGAGAGCAGGACCAGTCTTTTAAAGAGGAAGATGAAGACCCTGAGCAGGAAGGACATAATAGAGCACAGCTATGTAGGGCACTGCTAAACAAACAGGACTTAATATATATCCGGCTCCAATAGCTGAAGGCTGCGTGCGGAGATCACTCCTTGACTGTAAAATACTCTTGCAAAGCGTGCAAACAGTTCATTGGTATTCATGACAGAAATGCAGCTTCTGTTTGTTTGATTTCTGTTCCCTTTTAGTGTTTGTAAATAAAAATTACTCTTTTGAACTATTTGAAGGTTTCCTGTATGTAATGTCCCCGCATCGAACAATGATAAGATGCTGGGCTACAGTAGTGTTTAAAGAGTAACATAGATTTAGAGAGGCTGAAAGAATAGATATAGAAAAGCACCAGTGAACTGCGCAGCCTGATACTTAAACAACCATAGACATATGAATGTGCAGTTTTAGGTGAAAGTACGTGTCAGTGGTGCCACCTTTTTGCAGTGAGAAGATCTGCTTTGTAGCTGCTGTGCAAAAGTGTTCGCAGTGAAGGGCAACTCCAGACAGCCAACGTTTGACCAGGTGTATGACTGGGTTCAAAATGCTGTTGACACCAGGAATCATCGTCAATTTTGGGCATATCCTGACAGTGGTGAGTTCTACTGGTTACAGCGAGCGATATAATTAGCTTACCATCAATCGACAAAGGTACCTTGGGATGTGATAGATTGTTAATGACGGGATTTTGGGATGATAGCATTAGGAAACTCGTTCAGCCTCACTGAGAGAAACCCTTCATGAAACTCGACAAAAATGACAATTTGCCAAAATAAGGTAAAATTTGGGGTGGCACGACAGTTCAGTAGTTAGCATTGCTGCCTCTCAGCGCCAGTGACCCAGGTTCAATTCCACCCTTGGGCAATTGTTTGCATGGAGTTTGCATATTCTCCTCGTGTTTGCATGGGTTTCCTCCCACAGTCCAAAGATGTGCACGTTAGTTGGACTAGCCATGCTAAGTTTCCCCTAATGTCCAGGGATGTGCAGGCTGGGTAGATGAACCATAGGAAATGAACGGTTACAGGGAAAAGGTCGGGGGTGGAAAGCTGTTTGCAGGGTTAATGTGGGCTGAATGGCCTGCATTGATACTGTAGGGATTCTATGATTCAACCCACTAGGGTAATAATAGTTGGGGACTTCAGCTACCTAAACTTCATTTGGGATATTACTGGTATGAAAACACAGAGAACAAAACTCTTGAACTACATTCTTGAAAACCTGCTGCCTCTGGAACATGTTTGGGCAGGACCCACTGGCAAATTTTGGTATGGGATCCACTTCAATGGCTTCTCTGTAATAAGTAGAGGAAATAAGAGACCTTGGAGTGCATGTTCACAGATCCCTGTCGGTGGCAGGTAGGTAAGATGACAGACAAGGCGTATGGGATATTTTTCTTCATTGGATGAGATATTGAATACTAGAGCAGAGATGTAATGATGAAAACATATAAGATTCTGGCTAGGCCATAACAGGAATTTGTGCACAATTTTGGTCACCACATTCCAGGAAGGACATAAATCCACTAGAGACAGAGTCCAGAAGGGGTTTACAAGAATGCTGCTAGGTCATGAAAGTGCAGTTAGGAGGAAAGATTGGATAGGCTAGGATTGTTTTCCTTAATACAGAGGAAGCTAAGAGGTGACTTTGTTGGGTGTACAAAATAAGGAGGGGCATATAAAGTGTGGATGGGGAAGAATTGTTCTGTAGTGGATAGGTCAATTACTAGGGGACCCAGATTTTAAGTGATTGGTAGAAGATTACAGGGACTATGTGGAAAATCATTTTCACCCAGAGGGTTGTGGACAGCTGGAATTCATTTACCAGTTTGCTGATTGTAGTAGGAACACTCAACTCTTTAAAAGGAACCCGGTTTTGCACTCAAAGATCTGCAACTTGCAAGGGTCTGGACCAGCTGCTTGTAAATGGGATTAGAATGGGTAGCACATTTATTCAGGCAGTGCAGAGGCATAGGGCTTAATGACCTCTTTCTATGCTGTAACTTTTCTATGAATCTACAGTTATACAAATCTAAAGAACACTTGGACGATCTCAAGGTACTGAATAAGCCTCTCCTAGTCCTATATTAAAATAAGTTTAATTTAATATTATTGATGCAGCAACAATGTGTGTGAGAGATTGCAGTCTTTTTAGTGAAATAAGCTTCAAATGCTATGTTTGAAATCTGATACAAACTTCACCTATAAATGTAAGTTCCCTTAAAGTAAGGTCGAAGAAATGTCAAAAATGACTCATCCTATGGGTGGAAAACCATTTAAAAATCCTGAAATGGATAAGCACAAAGTGATTATAGCCAAACCTTGATGAGACTTAAATACTTTATAACTTAAATATTTTATTCTCCGTTCATGTTACATGGATAGGCAGAACCAATGGCCATTTCTGCCAAATGCACAGAATACCTTGCCATAACCGTCTTGTACATAGTTGAGTTACCTAATACAGTACATAGCTGCTATAAAGGCCCAACCACTTCTTTAAACGATACCTGAGATAATTAGTAAGATATTCTGACTATTACTTATTAGCAAATCTTTTATGTTTCATGTAAATTCCATGCAACCATTAGTAAGGAATCATTTATTTTCAAAGAAACAAATGGCATGCCTTGAGAAAACTGGCCTCTTTTCATTGTTTGGAATGATAATAAACTGAATCCAATTTTTCCCTAGCATACTTCCTGATTTAAGGAGAATGAAAGCTGGAAATTGGCATGGGATCCACTTTAATGGCTCCTCTCTGATTAATACCAGCTTGAAATTGTAATCATTCAGTATGTCTACACAAACATATGCAGGGTAATTCAAATAACATAGTCATGGAAGAGGAATCTACAGTGTGTTAATGCTGGATGAAGGAATGACTATTTGGGTCTGGATCTATAGTTGTTGTGGCATGAGGAAGAAGAATTAAATTTCAAACATCCCTTCAAGAAATGCAATAGATTACCACGAAGGATTTTTTACATTCTGAAATCTATAATCTATCCCCTTCTTGGCAGTGACTTTGATCTACACACTGCTGGATGTGCCTAAGGCCTGCTGTGTCCATTTTCCAATTCCTCACTCTTTCCTGCGATGGGATGCCTGGTGCAGTTGAGAATCCTACCACATTGTTCAAATTAGGCTGACCCCAGAAACTCTCATGAGATTTCAAACAAAACAGAAAAACCTACCTTTGACAACTACAAGAAGATCGCTCCAAATTATTTAAAATTACAATTGGAAGAAGGTGTTGCTTAGATGATTCAGCAAGTGCAACATTTTAGAGAATGTTCTAAATGACTGTATCAAAACATTTCTTGGCTTACATATGGGACCTAACCTATCATTTTCACAATGTTGGGCTGGATTTTAGTATTGAAGTATTTTCCTGCCACAAGCTATTTATCTCTGAACTGTTTGAAATTTTATGTGGGACTGGAGATGCATTGGGTAACCTTCTGACAGTTGGATCAATTGACACCCTTAAGTGACCAATTAATGACCACTTAAAGGCCTCATCTCAGCCCTACTGGTGCTTTGGAGGGTAGTTTATAATAACTACAGATGACCCACCGTGTTGTCCGTGTGTTATTGAGATGTAACACTTGTTGTGATTTCAAATCAGCATGAAGTTGCTTCTTAGAAGTGATATTCTGATGAGGAATCAAGTCCCAAATTATACCCCATCTTCCTATTAGCGCACAGTTTTAAATACTTTGCTTCAATAGAAAAGCAGCTCCAATACTGTTCACAAAATAAAAATGGAATTTTATTGAATGACCTGGGCATTTACTAGATTATAGTAAGCCCCGTGTCTAGCTAGCAGCTGTTCATGTGTGCCCTGTTCTATTACTTGTCCATTGTCAATAACAGCAATCACATCAGCATTCTGAACTGTCGTCAAACGGTGAGCAATGATCACACAGGTCCGTCCTTCCCTTGCTTTGTCGAGAGCCTCCTGAACAATCTGAAAAAAGAAGGAATTTTGCTTGAAAAGGAGTTAATGTACTGTGTCCAACCTCTTAAACTTGCAACTTTCATGATTTTGACTATTGTTAGAAACTTTTTTTATACACAAGATTTCTTCTTATTTAAATAATAATAACATATGAAATTGAAGAGCAGGGAATAAGGCCACTCGATGACCATATCGCAGCCTCAACTCCACCTTCCCTGTTTACACTTTTGCTTCCCTTTTGTTCAAACATTTGTCTATCTTAGCCTTGACTGTGCCCAATGTTTCAACTTCCACATGCCCCTGTGTTGTACGTGCGCTTAGGGATGGGCATGGAGCAGCTGTCTTTTTGTGCAATTTACAAAATATGCAGAGCAGGAAAAGATCCCTGCATGACTATCATGGAGTAAGTTCTTTTATACACTGAGAGTCTTGTGACCTGACATGACCTCCTATGATGTTATTAGCTATCCTATTAATAGCTGCTGCCTTACCCTACATCTTCTCCATAAGAATTCATACTGTCCCTGAATGTTTACTTTTTTCCCATCATGAATATGTTAACATTTATATATCTACATTTTCCATAACCAATATGTTTACGTTTTCTATTCAAAAACATGCATCTCAGTCCCCTTGCACCAAGTCCGTTGTGCTCTCTGTGGGTTAGAGTGACAGTTGTTGTGATGATGTGATGAGCCGCACTGATCGTATTCTCATTAATGTCAGAGGAATTACTTCGCTGTTGGCCCCCTATGGTTTGGTTTACCTGCCCTCTGGTGGAGGAATATGGTTAAGCTCTCAGTAATCAGGCTAACTGGTCCGTTCCCTAAAGGCCTTTTGGGGATGTGTATCAGTGCAGTCTTGTTTCTTCTAAGGATGTTATGGTCCTTTACAATGAGGAATGATTGTGGGTTTGTAGTGCACCCCGGAACATCCACAATTCAGGTCTTGGGGCATGTTGACTCCCCTGTCCCAAGTTTTATGTCAGCAGTTAGAGTTGAGGTCTGATAAGCCTTACAGCAATTTTTCTTTTCTCCCAACCTGTCTATATCCGTTGCCCTGAGGAACAGACAAAGGGTGCCTTGGAAGAGCTGGGAGCCGACTACATGTTCTCCTGCTCATCAAGTGTTCTGATGGGGCCAGGCCATTATGTAGTGGTGTGGAACGAAAGCTTAGTTAGGCTAAATTTAAATCGCTATTCTTTTCCAATAAAGATTTTACAGCCTGGACGTCTTTCTTTCTTGAGATCTGAATTAGCTTTTGGGAATCTGGAGGAACTGGTGATGTGTATAATGTCATTGTGAAGCATTTAAAGCAGTCATTGGTTGTTATCTGAAATAAGCCTGGAATGCCATGTATGGTGAAAATTTTCTTGAGAAGAGTAATGACAGACACCGAGGTGGGACCATGCAGTCACTTGACTTCAATCCATTATCGTAGTAATCAACTACAATGAGGAACAGTTTATCTTTGAAAGCAAAAAGTAATCCATCACAAAGTGCTCCCATGGTCTAGGCTGGAATGAAGATGAAATCGATGGCTTTTTGCGGTCTTGTTTATGGATGAAGTAGGTAATTGCATTTAAAATCACATCATCGCTTTAGAGATTCCTGGTCACCAAATTGAACTTTGAGCATAGCTTTGACATTTGATGATATCCAGGCATCCTTGGTGCAGACATTGGAAAATATCAAGGTGGAAGACTTTTGGTGTGACTACTCTTTTATTGTACACCAGTAAATCATGACACGAAAGTGTGGATGCTTTTCGAAGAACACTTGAAGACAGGGTTAGTGTAGGGGTTTAATGGTCTAAGAAGTTTAGGATTCCACATTTTTGACAAAGTTGATATCACGTGGTGTCAGTGTCTCCCCATAAATGTGGGGCAATGGGCCTGCTGTTGCTTGATGGTTTCCATGGATGTTTTCTGTTGTGGCATCAGAGTCCATGATTTGTAGGTGGAAACACTGTGCTGGCAATTGTCTCTAGTATTGGGCAAGGTGACTAACAGTTTGTGATCTGTCTAGATAGGGAAGCTGAATTCAAAATTAGATCCTCTCAAAATTTTTCCCAGGCCTACATGACCACTAAGGTCGCCTTCTCTCTGACCATATCCATTGCTCTGTTTCTGTCAATGTTCTGGACGCACAATAAAAAAAATTCTGTCAGTACCATCTCTCTGGAGTTGGAAGAGTACAGTGGTGGGAATATCTGGCTCACAGTGAGCTAGCATTTAAGTAGAGGAAAGCATCTGCTTGCTTTGTTTGAATGCTCTCAATTGGTGCTCATCTCAATACCAAGTATTGCGTTGCTTAAGTAATGTCTGTTATGGTTCATTTACCTGTAACAGCTTTGGGAGGCAATTCCATTGATTGACCATATCCATAAATTCCTGACACTCCATTACGTGTGAGGTGGAGGGGTATCCCGAATGACATTGTCTTCTGAGGGTCTGATCTGATGCCTGATACATGAATAGCGTACCCCAAAATGTTGAGTGCGTGTATAGAGAAGTCACATTTATGGTTAAGTGGGAGCTCTGCACCCTTTGGGTGCTGTAAGGCAGTCCCTGCTTGAGTATCATGTATCTGCACCATGGATCTGTGGATATGGATGACATCCAAGTGACAAGGGACTTCTTCTAGCGCTGCTGTTTCAGCGCTAGGGACCTGGGTTCGATTCCACCCTTGGGCAACTGTCTGTGTGGAGTTTGCACATTCTCTCTGTGTCTGCATGGGTTTCCTCCAGGTGCTCCAGTTTTATCCCACAGTCCAAAGATGTGCAGGCTAGTTGGATTAGTTGTGGAAAATGTTGGGTTACAGGGATAGGGTAGAGGGTGGGTCTGGTGTGGGATGCCCTTTGGAGGGTTGGTATGGACTAGATGAGCCAAATGGCCTGCTTCCACATTGTTAGGAATCTATGATTCTAGCCCTTACAGCATGGAAATCATGATCCATTGAAAGATTTTCCACGTGGAGGTGATTTCCAATGTTAGCCGACTTAAGCAGAAACAACATGGTGAATGTCATCAGCAGCTGGGATTTTTCATCCAAATGTATCTGTCCGATCCTACTGTTTGTGTCCAGCTTCGCCAAGAACATGGTTTCTCAGCAGCTTCACGAGGCTTTCATCAACAAATGCCATTCTGACCCCACTAAGATTCCATTCATTGTTACTTTTTGTCAGTTTTCCTGAGATTAAATTACTTCTTTTGTTGTTTCAGAATTGTGAGCTGAGTATGCATCATTCTGTAACTGCAAGGGAACTCTTCAGCTGAACGCATATTTGGCTTTACTTTATTTTTGAACCTTACTAAAATGGCTTCATCCTCAAATCTTGGGTCTCATGCCAGCTGCAAGCCAAATATTAAATTGTTGGGCACGTTAAGAAAACAATTGCCCAGGTAGACCGTCCTTTCAGCAATTTTTCCTGCGCTGCTGGTTTCAGTAAGTTTTATCCATTTAATTTATGGCTTGTAGCCTTCTACACTAGGTTAATGCTTTTTTAGAACTTTTTTTGAACGTCTAACACAATCCAGACTTGGGCACCGGAAGACTGGCATTGCAAACACGCTGACACAATTGTAAAGTGGCTGGAATTAATTGTATCCAACTGGGCACTTACACCAACAACTTGCATTTATACGGTGCGTTTAATGTAGTAAAAACATTCCAAGGTGCTTCACAGGAGAGTCATATAACAAAATTTGGCACCAAAAGCCCCACAAAGCACAGGTGACTAAACGTTTTCTGTAACTCATGGAATGTAAGTATCATCATCAAGGCCAGCATTTACTGGTAATTCCTGATTGCCCTCAAGAAGATGGTGAAGATAAGCTGCTTTCTTGAACCACATTGGTTCCATGTAGTGAATGCATTGTTGCAGGTCTGACAAACTCAAGTGATTCATGAATTTCATTTCACAGGGCAGTTGAGAGTTAATCGTTGCAGCATTGGAGTTATATATGTCCAGACCAGGTAAAAACAACCTAAAGAATATGAAGTAAATCAGTTGGATTCTACATGTTATTGAGCTTTTTGTTGAAATTTTCTTACCTAATTTATTGAATTCCAATTTCCCAACTCCTCTACTAGGACTTAAACTTGCATCACTTGAATACTAGCCTAGAAACATAACCTGTATACTACCGCATCCATGATAGGTCAAAGAGGCAGGTTTTTCTAAAAGCAGGAGAGAAGGTAGAGAGGTGATGAGGTTCAGAGTGGAAATTCCAGAGCTTAGGATCAAGGCAGCTATTAAACAAAAGACTGCCAGTGGTACACCAAAGAAGATTGGAGGGGCACAAGAGACCTCAGAAGGTTGTAGAGCTGAAGAATGTGACAGAGATAGGAAGAGGCAAGTATTTTAAAATATTGATGAGAATTTTGGCTGAACTGAGAGCTGCCCACAACTACAAATTACATTTGCACTCACCACTGTTGCTGGCAGCTCTCTGCTGATCTTTGAAGGCGTATTCAATTTCAGCTCTCCATCATTTATTATTTTGCTTTTTGTTTAAGAATGAAGATTTACCTTTTCACTCTCTGTATCAAGTGCAGATGTCGCCTCATCTAAGAGCAGAATTTTTGGCTGCCGTACGAGAGCTCGTGCAATAGCTATTCGTTGTTTTTGCCCACCGGAAAGCTGAGCTCCTTTCTCCCCAACTCTAGTGTTGTATTTCTAATGATAAAAGAAGTCACAGTTTAAAATGCGTACAAAAGGCACAGAGCATGATGTGGCACACACAAGTGTTAGTAAACTTAGGATAAATTTGGTGGAGCTTTTCTTTCACCTCCGCTATTATGACAAAATATAGATTCATTGTCAGCACCAGAAACAAAGTTGCTGGAAAAGCTCAGCAGGTCTGGCAGCGTCTGTGAAGGAGAAAACAGAGTTAACGTTTCGGGTCCGGTGACCCTTCCTCAGAACCCATAGATTCATTGTGTTTTTGGCAAAAGTAGAAAACGTCCTGCCTGTTGTCACTTCAGATCTCTAGAAAATTTTAATCTCTGTTGCTTTAAACAAAAGCTTCTATCTTAAATTCCCTGGTCCTAAGTTGCTTTAACTTGATATAGAGTCATAGAGTTACACAGCATAGAAACAGACACTTTCAGTCCAATCGTCTATACCGACCAGCTATCCTAAACTGATCTATTCCCATTTGCCAGCATTTAGCCCATATCCCTCTAAACCCTTCCTATTCATGTACGCATCCAGATGCCTTTTAAATACTGTAATTGTACCAGCCTCCGCCACTTTCTCTGGCAGCTCATTCCATACACACACCACCCTCTGCGTGAAAAAGTTGCCCCTTAGGTCCCTTTTAAATCTTTCCCTTTTCACTTTAAACCTATGCCCTCTAGTTTTGGGCTTTCCCACCCTAGAAAAAAGCCCTTGGCTATTCACCTTCTCTGTGCTCCTCGTGATTTTAAAAACCTCTGTAAGGTCACCCCTCAGTCTCTGACACTCCAGGGAAAATAGCACCAGCCTATTCAGCCTCTCCCTATAGCTTAAACTCTCCAGTCCTTGTAAATCTTGTAAATCTTTTCTGAATCCTAATGGTACAAAGACGTGTGCCAATGCAAACACATTAAAGAGACTATAATTTAATCAGACAAACATTTGAGAAAATTGTGGATTGTTACAATTAAAAACTTCAAAAGGTTTGAGTTACACATAGCAAATGATGAAATTTAGTGTTGGCTCTGTCTTCTGTTCACAGCTAACAGAAAGAACTGTGTAGTTGGACCACTTTTGCTCAGCATAATGTCCTGCCCATGTAGGTTTTCATCTCTTGTATCAGAGTACAGTGGCAACCAGAAACAAAGTGGCAGCTTCTAAACTAGATTTTGCATTGCATTACTTGGAATTGGCCTTTACTTGAAGGTGCACTGTTATTTTTCCATGACAGCATAAATTCAGGTTGGTAAATGTTTTCTGTAGAATTAAACAAAAATTCCATATAAATGAATGGTGAGGACTAGACAAAATAACTTAAGAATAATGTCATAGACCATTTCTCCCAATGATGCACAATAACACCGATTTATATGAAATTATAGATACGTTTTGTCATCCTGATGATCTGTGATGAACAATCAAGACATGAAGTGGAATGATGTGATTGGTGGTGTGACAGTTACCACATTAGTGATCAAGTCTCTGGTTATAAAAAAAAAGACTTTCAGGATGGTTTTAAAACATAAATGACTCCATGAAGCTGCATTATTATAGAGCTGCAGCTGATGCCACATCTGCTGTAGTTGAACCTTTCATGGTGGTTGTAATGCAAGGTTTTTGGCATAGGCTGCTCCCAGCTGTTCCATGATCTAAGCTTGTTGGAGAATGTCCCAAAAGGGTGATAACATCCCTTTAACACTAAAATGGAAAAAAAAATGTGCAGTGGCACATCATAATTCTACAGCATAGGAGCCATGTTACCACCAAAGTGCAATGCTTCATAAAATCGGTGAGAATAAAATAAGCATCAACCTTTGCACATCATATTATTGTATTATTACTCCACATGCCCTTCCTTTACAATCTCAACAAAGAAAATTCTGAAAATTTTATCAAAGTCATCTTACTGTCTCATTCAGTAGTTGTATTGTAACTGATATTGAATGTTAATTCACAGACCTGCTTTGAGATGTGGTAGCAGAGCTCTTAGAGAGTCACCATATGAGTATGCTGAATTAACACTGATTACTGCAAGGCAAATAGTGTTTGACAAATCTGCTCAAGATTTCTGAGGTTGTAACAAACAGGGACAATAAAGACAAGCCAGTGAGTGGAGTGTAATAGGACTTTCAAAAAGCATTTGGTAGACTGCCACCTTATCTAAGGTACAAAAAATTACCGCTCATTGAATTGAGGGCAACAAATTCGCATGGATTGAAAATTGATTAGTGGCCAGGAAACAGAGTAAAACAAATGGGTCATTTTCAGATTGGTTGGCTGTAACCAGCAGAATACCACAAAGAATAGCGCTGAGTCTGAGCTATTTATACTGTATGTCAATGGCTTAGATGAGGGAGCTGAGTGTATTGAATCCAAGTTTTCTGATGATACAAAGATAGGAGGGAAAGCAGTTATAAGTATGCAAGGAGGTTACAATGGTTAGGTAAGTGGGCAAGAACATGGCAAATGGAATATAATGGGCTCAATTTAATGGCCATAGTGATGGCCTCATCTACTGGCTAGGAAGCTATAGTCATTTCTGGAAACGCTGGTGAAATTAAATGCACCCCAGGCTGCATGCAGCCAACCTCCAGACACTGCCTGCCTCTCAGGTCAGTAAGGTTTCTAGGGACACAGAATAGAGATGAGTTTGTTGGGCTGTCAGGGCCAGTCATGCAGGTTTAAGTAATTGGGTTGGTGACAGGCTCATTCCATGAACCTTCCTGGCTGAGTATTTGGCACAACCACTACCTCCCAGGCCACAGCTTCAAACAACTGAGAGAGGGAGAAATGTGTTCGCTCAAATTTTCAGACCTGTGGGATTTTCCAGCCCAGAAGGCTGTGGGTGCTCGATGGTTGAGTATATTGAAGACCGAAATTGAGCATTTTTTGCATACTAGGGGAAATGAAGGAATTGGGGATACTATGTAAATTTGGAATAGAAATGGAAGATCGATTATGATTTTATTGAGTGGCTGAGCAGGAATGAAGGATCAAACGGTGTCCTCCTGTTTCTATTTTGACTGCAGGTAATTCATGCATGCACACAACATCACAATCCTCATTATTATTATAGCTGTTTGGTAATTGACAAACTTACATCAGGGAGTTGGTCAATAAAGGAATGAGCATTTGCTGCCTTTGCTGCCTTCTCAATCTCCTCCTGTGATACGGTCCTGCTGTTGTCACCATAGGCAATATTCTCAGCAATGCTACAATTGAAGAGCACAGGTTCCTGGGATACAATTCCTATTTGTGATCGAAGCCATTGAATGTTGATGTTTTTGATATCAGTTCCATCCAGAAACTACAATTAAAATACATGTTAGTTGTTTGTATGCTTATGATATGAGTGATCCAATACACACACTTGTGAATAATGAAATTTGTCTTTATACATAGTAGCAAATGAATTTTTGACTTTTACCAGTCACCGTCACTTTGACCTCCAGGCCAACAAGAGCATTACAATTTGAATAGCCATGGGCTCTGGGGGTAAACTGGGAACATTGATGGATCATAGAAAGAGGCAGACTGGAAATGGGGGAGGCTGAAATGTTACTGGGGACACAGGGACGGTAACACAAAAGAGAACATGAAGGATGGGGCATAATCCTTAGTCTCAAGCTGAGCCTAGCGAGTCACTCAATGTGATACAACACAGAAATCTTGCCAAAGATTTTGATTCAAAGTACAGTAATGATACAAAATGACTTCCACTGAATGTAGCATGGTTGGAGTAAGTTACTGCTCTTTTTCTTTGGGGATAGTAAAGTTGTTTGAATATAAGACCTTGGTAAGGGAAATTGCACTAATCATGCATCCACTGATTCAGCAATGTCCCTTATCTGACACAAAATTGCACTTCATCCATAGGTCATTCATTGTCTAAAAACACCTAATGATAAATTCTGGCCTCAAGCAATCATGGCCATTACGTTGTTGACATTAACTTTTTCCTTGTTGTGTCAACTAAATAAATAGAATCAGACATTAACTTAAAAGCATCATTTTGGCTTGGCATTTTTGAAACATATTCCATAGCCATTATTAGATGACAGTGCATCAGAACCTCCACACTTGCACACAGAATTATAAGTATGCAAGGACAAAGTTCCCTTTTTGGGAGGGGGGGGCTTACTGCCATAAGTCTACTCCAGTGTAGTATAACACTTTTGTTGGGCAAAGTGCATTTTGGTAAGGTTACATACCTCAGAGCCCCTTATCAAGGCATGTCATTGACTTCCTTGTGAAAACGCCATGCCATACAATGTCAGGGCCTAATCTGAGGTTTCATTGTCATTGGTGTGAGGGGTCAGGAGTATCATTGATGAAATATTGTTCTCTTTATGACATTCTACACAGATTTTCTGCACAGGCATGTGGCATTGCTTCAAATGCGAAGGCAAAGTCAAAGGTAGAACAACGACAATGTCCTCAGCAAGTCCAGCAAGAACCATAATCTCCAGTCACTACTGCACAGCCTCCAGTGGGAGAAGGTAAAGATTGCCCAAGGACGTGAAGGAGAATGATGTGATCATAAAATCTATAGGCCTTGATGTCATTTTCCACAGCTCTCAGAAACACAGGGCCTCTGAGGATTAAGACAATCCCGGAATTTTTTCATCAAATGGTGCCAACCGTGGGATCAGGCCTTCGCTTCAGAAGGACTGGGTGGTCAGCCCACCACAGTGCCTACCAAGGTTACAGCTGCCTTCAGTTTCTATGCCAACAGCTCACTTCAAAGAGAAATTGGGTGACACCTCCACGTGTCACTGATGCCATTTTCTCCAAAGCGTACCCCCTCATATCCTTCCCCCATGTTGAGGGCAGCTGAGAAGCCCCAAGGGCAATGGATTTCTCCACCATCACAGGACTCTCCCAAATCCCTACCCGACCCTGCCCCAGGTACATGATGCCAATGACTGCATCCACCTTTCTTTGAGAGAACCCTATCACCAACCTGCAGATTCATCAAAAGAAAAGGCTTCAACATCATCAAGCTTCACATTATATGTGACCATCAGTCTCAGAGTTCGAAAATCTGTGCTAGATATTCCAGAAGCTGCCATGATATGTCTATGCTTGGAACTCTCACAGCCTCCTCCAAGGTCCTGGGGCCATACAGAAATGGCTGCTGGGAGACAAGGGCCACCCCCTCTTAACATGGCTCATGACACATTTACAAAACCATGAGATTTACAAAGAATGGAGTTACGACACTGCCCCCTTCAGAACACTTCTACCAGGGTCATAGTGAAACAACCCAAAGGCCGCCTCAAGATGAGCTTTCAATGCGTGGGCCAGTCCAATGGGACTTTGCAGCATGGCCCAGAAAGGGTGCTCCTCATTACTGTGACTTGCTGTGCCTTTCACAACTGGAGCTGACATGGGGAGTGTCCTGGATGCAGAGGCAATGGGAGATGAACAGCAATCTTGTGAGGATGAGGATGAGGATCGGGATATTGATCAGGAAAAATATTAAAGACAGCATGATAGAGCAATGCATCATTGAGCATGAGAATCTAGAGAGAACCTAATTGAAACCTCGTTCCAGAATGAATGAGCTGGGTTTGGATTTCCTTTCATTGTTTCACATTGTGTTGGTGAAATAACAAGCAGCGTCTGCTTCATGCAAAGTATATGTGGACCTTGTTATTGTTGTAGTCATTGACCTTTTCTGATATTGAATAAATGTTATATATCTGATTTCACACTTGATATCTTTGGGTGATCCCACTTTCAAGCATCTACACATAACAAGTCTTAGTGATCATCAAGGAAAATACATCTGCCCGTGAAGCAGTGCACTAGCATTGCAATGGCACGGGGGTTAGGTAGCTCTTCAGGCTTCAGTCAGCAAATGACATCTGAGTTAACAAGTTGTAGAGCTGGATGAACACAGCAGGCCAAGCACCTTCTGAAGAAGGGTCTAGGCCCGAAACGTCAGCCTTCCTGCTCCTCTGATGCTGCTTGGCCTGCTGTGTTCATCCAGCTCTACACCTTGTTATCTCAGATTCTACAGCATCTGCAGTTCCTATTATCTCTAATGACATCTGAGTGTTGTGCAATGATGTCTCTCATGACAGGCAGTAGGCAGAGAGGAATCTTGAGGTATCTCCTTTGGCTGTTCCATTGTCTGTTGACTTCAATATTTCAAAGTGTGTGGTTACTGCTAAGTTGTTCTGAAAAGCATGAGCATCCTGTAGGACAATACCGAATGTGCAAGATGCAGCACTTTGGGCACCTTCTCTTGGTCAGCCAGGTATGATGGAGCTTGGTCATATGAAATGCCTATTGTTTATCTCCCAACCTTGAATAGTAATGCCCTTCAAAAACTGATAGAATTAACCTTTCCCTTAAATGTGTAGAATCATCACCGGCTCTCACTTTTCCTTACTCTCACTCATAAGCTGGGTGTAAGTATGATGACTTTTTCCTCTCTTGCCGTGTGTTTCTATAAAATGAAAGCCTTAGATTCCTGATGCATAATTAATGCAGAGCAGAAGATTGTGTGAGAAGGGTCAATGCGAGCCATGGTGGACTGGGTACCAAGAATCTTGAGAAAATATTTTCACTCAGAATTGGAAAATTGAAACCAATATATTTGAACAGTTTTAAATGAGACATCATGCTTGGAGTCATTCAGCATCATCCTTTGTATTGTGAAGATACATTCATCAGATTGCTTGGCTTTTTAACATTATAATTGTCATTTGTCACAATTTATTGTGAACACATTCAGTTTTTATTTTATATTTTAATTTTAACAAATCAAAAAATCATGACTCCATATACACTATATACTGCTCTAGGAATATTTCAGTCATTCATCTGAAACTTTTCCTCCATTTCAGCGAAGATGTTATCCTATCTGTTGTGATCAGGCTAATCTCACCTTTCAAATTATGGAAAGATTTTTAGATGGCAATAGTAAGTATTTGCATACTGGATCCTGTTGGAAATGTCAGGGCACATGTAAATATGAAATAAATTCTATTACTTTCTATACCACCAGGTGGTGCTGTTGTCTGCCAAGTAATCTGCAAAATTTTGTTTCTGATTTTTGATATGATTTGGAACTTTTCACAACGTTCAACCAGCCATTACTTACTTAAAGCATCCCTGCATTGATGAGTAGATGTAGATGAGCATGAAATCCCTGTGAAAAGTGTTGTTTGTTGATGTGGTGGGGAATCACACATGCAAAGAATATTCACTGCCACTGAGATAAATTACCCATTGCTAACTCAGCAAAACAAAAATAAAATGCAACAGTCACACTGTCAAAGTTTTGCTAAGTCAATGACTGGAGAATCTTTTGAGCTGAGTACAGACCCATATAACCCAGAAACTACATCTACCATGACTGGGTCACACTGACCTAAACTTAACATCTCAATCACATCAGGTTTTCAGCAGTAATGATTTGCATTTGGCTAGTTCATTTAGCCTAATAAAGCATCCCTAGTTGCACACAACCGTGTGGATCAAGTACTGTAAGCCATTAAGGCCCTCAAGGCTGCTCCATCATTCAATAAGATCATGGCTGATCTAATTGTAAACTCAAATCTGTATTCCAGCCAACCTCAGGCAACTTTTCATCTCTGTACTTAACAAGAATCTATCTACCTCCTTCTTTAAAAATATTCAAGGGCTCTACTTTCACCATCTTTTCAGGAAGAAACTTCCAAAGACTTACAACCCTCTGGCAGAAAGATTTTCGCCTTGTCTCTGTTTTATCTGTACAACCCCTGATTTTAATGATAAGCCCTAGTTCTAGATTCTGCTATAACAGGAAACACAATCTCTGGATCTACCCTATTGATATCACTCATGGTGGTTCAGTGGTTAGCACTACTGCCTCACAGCACCAGGGACCTGGGTTCGATTCCAGCCTTGGGTGACTGTCTGTGTGGAGCTTGCATGTTCTCCCTGTGTCTGTGAGGGTTTCCTCCCACTGTCCAAAGATGTGCAGGTTAAGTGGATTGGCTATGCTAAGTTGCATGTAGTACCCAGGGATGTTTGGGTTAGACGTGTGAAATGCAGGTGTAGGGGAATGGGTCTGGGTGGGATACTCTTCAGCAGGTTGGTGTGGACTTGTTGGGCCGAATAGCCTGTTTCCACTCTCTAGGGATTCTATTCTATGATTTTACAATCAAGTCATCTTTCACTCTCCTCAATCTAGCATTACAAATCTAGCCTGTCAAGTCTTTCTTCATAAGAGAGCACCCTGCCCAACCATTCCACATATTAGACTAGTAAACCTTTTCTGAACTGTCATCAATGCATTTCCATCATTAATTAAATAAAATGCCCATTTATATAAATTGTAAGCAGTTGAGGTCCCAGCACCGATCCCTGCAGCATACCACTCATTACATCTTATCAAATTGAAAAAGACCCATGTCTTCTACTTCCTGTTAGTCAGCCAATCTTCTGTGCGTACCAGATGAGACCCTTACACGACCAGCTTTTAACTTCTGCAATAACCTTTCATACAGTCAAATGTCTTCTGGACATCTATGTACAGTACAGCAACCATTCCACTTTTGTGTTACCTCCTAAAGGAATGGCAATAGATTGCTAAAAACTTGATATCTCTTTCAAAAAAGTATATTGATGCTACTCGACTATCTTGAATTCATCCAAGTGCAGTGTTCTAACTTCTTTAATAATAGCTTCTAACATTTTCTGTATGATAGATATTAAGCTAACTGGCCTTAGTTTTCCAAATTTTGTCTATCTCTCTTTTTAAATAAAGCAGTTACATTTGCTCATTTCCAAGCTAACAAGAATCAAGGAAATTTTGGAAAATTAAAACCATACATCAACTATTTCACTAGCCTTTTAGATCATAGGATGAAATCTATCAGGTCCTAGGCACTTGTTTGCTCATACCTCCAACATTTTACTAAGTATCACTTCTCTGGTGATCGTGATTTACTTCAGTTCTTCCCCCATTTCCATTTGCTGAAGTATTACTGTTCTGAGATGTGATTTGTATCCACTATGGTGGAGACTGATGTCTTCAATTAAATTTGTTCAATTTCACTGTCATTTTCTTAAATTTCTATTATTAAGTATTCTGTCTCACTTTGTTAACTCTTCTTTTATCTTTTGAAACTCAAACTTTTTTTTATATTTCCGGTTAGGTTTCTCTCAATCTCTATTTTCTCCCTCTTCATTAATTTCTTTCTCATTCTTTGCTGTTTTTTATATTCTTTACAAACTTCTGGCCTGCCCTCTTTATTTGCAGAACTGTATACATTTTTTTTAGTTTGATATAATCTTCAACATTTCTATTTAAACACAAGTAGTGGGTCTGAACTTTGAATTGTTCTTATCCATTGAGATGTATCTGTTCTGTGCATTCTGAAATATCCTCTTCAATATCAGCCATTGCATCTTTATTGACCTCTGTTTTAAACTAATTACTCTGCTAAGTATGTTTTAATACAGCGACTGATGATCAATCATTTTTTGGGAAAGAAAAAAATGGCCATTAAATTGATCAGCTTTGTGAAAGTGGAAACCTCTTCTGATGGAATAGATTAATTTATCCGGTGGATAATCAGTTCTTTTGCAATAAAAAGTGTAGAGATTGAGATTTTGATCTGTCTACTGAGCCATATGATTTTTCTTTTCATTGATTGCCAGCACAGCCATTTGTTCCACTACTTCATAGGGGTTGGTGTATTCAGCTCTGGAGTTTTTGTTGATACAGTTGTGCAATGAAGTTCTATTAAGAATATTTTGGTGAGACCTAAATCCCATTAATACATTCAGTTCAGCAGTGGTTGTTGATACAGCTATAATGAAACAGTGAACTTTGTTTTAATCGACAGTTATATGTGTTTCTAAGGGAATTCTTTAGTGAGGATTTTGAAAGGCTGTTTGTTTATTTGGATGGTTTTATGAGTATCCCAAAGTCTCCATATTGTTATTATAAGGCTTATGAAATCTGCCTATTGTGGAAATGGAGTGAGAATGGAAGGAAATTGCTAAGTTGGGTCACCGGTGAAGATATGAAAGGTTATGGAGGACATGGAGGGAACAGGTGCCTGGTGGGGGTGAAGGGTAAGCTCTATCAAGTACAGAGCTGGAATGACATCCCAATGAATGCAAGTGGGTCTTCTAATCTGCTTGACATCTGCCTGTTTTGTTCCCACATCAGACATGCTTTCGGAGGCAGCAGTCCCATCTCCAACCACTCTAACTCCCAGTTTTAGTGGGCATTTCAGGCAGGAGGCATGATTGTGGCATTGGGAAATGGCTCAATAACCACCTCAAGGATTAAGATCTAGTCAGAGTATTGCTAGCTCTTTTGAGATAGGTATTAAGAAAATAAGAAGCGGATGGCATCCAAATAAGTACAAGGTTAGTTTCTGCACTCATGCTCCAGGCTTGCGAGGCTTGGGTAGTTTGAGAGAAGGGCATCTAATTGACTGGCAGGTAGACAAAATTCAGATCAGTATGTACAGTGGCAAAGTAATAATTTCGAGAGAAAGAAGTGTTTACCCCATTGCTATTAATTAATGGGACAAATAGTCAATTCTATTTCAGGGCAGTGCACAGCAATTGTAAACAAACTTTTACTTCTTTATTGTTTCAAAAGTCCCAATAATTTAAGTAGATGATTTTATGGCTCAGCAGCTACTATTTGTCTGGATAAGGCACTGAGACTAATAATCTGTTTTACCCAGTCCCAGTTTTACATTGGAGTTAACTGGTTAGGGCATGAAATGGGATGCTGAGTCAATATCACCTCATTGACAAACCGATGTTGAGTTTCATTGTTTGGCTTTCTAGGGTCAGCCCAATAGAATAACAGTGGTGCTTCAGAAGTTTGACTGCTATTGAACAAGTCAACAATATGACAACTTACATAGACAGTTTCCATTCTAAAAGTTCATGCTGTAATGTTCAAATGAACAAGGACAGATTTGTTAAAGCATCTCTTGTACTTAATGGTACATAAGAACGTCTTACCACTTCTCCTTTCAGTGGGTCATAGAACCTTTCTATAAGCTGCACAGATGTACTTTTCCCACAACCACTGCTGCCAACTAGTGCCAAAGTCTGTGCTTTTCCAACCTTGAATGACAGTCTTTTGAGCACTGGTACATTTGGACGACTCTGATATCTGAAGTAAACTTTGGAGAATTTCAAGTCACCATTGAAGTTTTCCTGTGACAAAACAAATGGAATGGGAAAGGTACATTCAGCAATGAAGTTGTCTGCTGCAACAATTTCCGTATTATGAGTTTTGCTTCCAATAAATATAATTTTGCATGCACATCAAAGGGTCTTGCCAATTCTTCAGGGACATCATTAGGTCTATCTATTGACAATTCTTATTTATTGGAACATCAGCATCAATGTTTGATTAAATTCCACAATTATGACAGATGTGATCAGTGGAATATAGAAAAACAGAAGTAGAAATATTGAAAAATCATTGAGAATGTACATTTGAACCCCTGCTTACTGATTAGCAACATAAAGATAGGTCATCTTTCATTGTTATTTAACATGATGTATACAATGGAAAAATAGCAATAATCCCATATGGGCTATGAAAGAAAAGCCTTGTGACCCACAGCAAATCATTAATACATGGTGGATATATATATACAGACTTATAGTTAGACTAATGGGGTACATCATGACGTATCTAAACCAGAGTTCAGATACCACACTTAGTCACACACAAAAAACTGCAATTATTTCCGACAAGCACAGGGAGATTTCTTAGCTTTCTCAGTAATTAGTAGGCTATTAACAAAATTGTAAGAACGCTGGACTTCAAAAATGTAATTTCTGAGAATGTCGCTTGTTATTTGTGAAGAAAAATGGACAGTTTTGCAATTAAGATGAACATCTAATCCAATATTCAACTTGTTTGTTCATTTGGTCAAGATTTTTCAAATTTTCTACAGATTACCAAACTAGAGCTCTGTGCAATAGCAAAGTAACCTTTCCTGAAAAAAAAATAGAAATTAATTCCAACAATAAGAAGTAAATCCATTTGCAATAGAATGGTAGTGTATAACATATGTGCATGAAGTTAACATGCTACATAATGCCCTTTCTGCTAGTTTCCTAAAATATACAAAAAAGCAATTTTGTATTGAATTAATTTTGCTTTGCAGTCATGCAATTTGTAAAGCATCAACTAAAGCCATTCTCTCTGAAGAAACAAATACTTGAATTCAGTAGAGTAGAATCTACACCAACTAATTGCTATATTGTAGTATTGCATTTCTATTATTCAATGAATGGTGGTAAATTTCACACAGATATGACAGGTAAAATGGAGGAATCGTAACTCTGCAGGGCTTCATGTAAGCCATATCATTGGACTCTACTGATCAAAGATCAGGACTTTCTGTGGAAAATCATATCAATACATGTTTAACCTTCCAGGAAGGAAATTTACAATCTGATTGCACATGCATTTATGGGAACAGTATGGGATATGGAATTTCAAATTAAAAATTGCATAAAAGACCTATATAACCATCTAAGGACAAAACAAAGAGAATGGATGATTCCAGGAAGATAAACGCTTCTAAACAGCAATCGACAAAAATGTCAACAATTTGCATTTAATTGTGTGCATATATACATATACAAAAGAATAACATTGTTTGCAAATATTAAGCATTAATGCCATCTACTGTTTGGCTCGATTCTTAGATCTTAAAACAGATTTAATTTCTGGTTAGTTCTTGCAAATAAAATACTCACCAGCTTCTGTCCATCAGTGCTGTCGCTGTCTATAGCTGGCACACGCTCAAAAAGTGCAAAGAGATTCATCGCAGCAACTTTTGCCTTTGCATAATCAGGAGCAAAAGAACTGCTCTGTCCAATTGCTACAGCACCATACACAATGGCATTAAAAACACTGTAAAATGAATTTTCAGAAAACTTTTCAGACAACATAGTATTGTACAAATTACAGTTATCTTACATCATTAAATCAAAGTTAACAGATACATAAATACATATTTTGTTGAACAGAAACCTTTAAAATTGTCTTCCAGCCCAAACAAGTCAAGTAATTGAACAGTAACATAAACATGCTTCAAGTGCCAGTTCAAGAGCCCTAATATAAAAAGTGATTCTCAATATAAAGTTAATCCCACCATTATCAAATTCAGAAATGTCAATACTAAGAATTTGGTTCAAGTCCCTACAATGTAGGAAAATCACATCACTTTCATTCTCTCTCATCATTACTTTTGGTGAAATCCTGCTGTATTTAAATGCCTCTCAGACGCTTAAGTGACAGATCGTGGACAATTCACATAATTGAGTAGGTTCATGAATTAAAACCTGGAGAATGATACTTCAAGCATTTTGAATGTATTGGAAACTAAAATTAATTATCCTAATGGACAAAAATAACAGGCACAGTTCATGCTACTTACAGGAAAACACCTTCTACATCCATTGCATTTATTGATATCAGGAATGCACCAAATCGGAAACTAGCAGCGTAGCTAAAGTATTGGATAGCCTGGCTCAGTGCAAAGGCAAAACCATAGACCTGGGATTTCTTTTTAGCATTTCTGCAAAACATGCACAGTGTTAAGGTACATTAAATCCAGAGCATGCACAACCTGATATTTGCATACATATGACAGAGATATACAATGGGTATTTAATTCACATTTTCTGCTTCAGGCCATTAAAAAACCAACATATTTTACAGCATTTAGGCAGAAATGATGTTAAAATTCAAACTTAATTACACAGGTTAAAAAAAAAGAAGCGGTTGAAGGGACAAGAGGACAACATACTGGGCTGAATTTTATCAAAGTGACTGGAGTCTCATCCCTTAGCTGCACAGCAGGCAAGACTCCATCGTCAGCTCCTTTTGGAGACATCCCATTGAATATAACGCCTTTCAGGCACTTAAGTGAACAGCAGCAGACCTTCCTCAGATGGAAATCCTGCCACCTGAAGACAGGGATACCAAAAGCTCCTGACAATGCACTCACCAGAAGCTCAGGATCAACAAAAGGACTAAGGACAGAGGTGAGTCAGGCCAGAAGGAGGTTGCTTGGTGGAGGGAAGGGGTTAGAATCACAAAAGTATTATGATGCAGAAGGAGACCATTTGGCTCATCATAGCTGCACTGCTCATTAAATGTGCATCGTTACCTAGTGACAATCTCCTACCCTTTCCCCATACCCTCACACGTTATCTTTATCCAAATTATCATTCAATGTCCTCTTGAATGCCTCAATTGAACCTGCCTCCATCACAGTTCCAGGCAGTATATTCCATACCCTAATTACTCACTGAATAAATAAAGTTTCCCCTCGATTCCCAATTCCTTCTTTTACACATCACTTTAAATCTATGCTTCTTGGTCTCATTCCTTTTATGAAGAGGAATGGTTTCTCCCTACCTACTCTATCCAGCTGCTCATGATTGTGTAACCCTCCATCAGATCTCCTCTCAGTCTTCTTCTCTCCAAGGAGAACAACTCCCAATGTCTTCAATCTATTCTCATTACTGAGGCTTTTTAATCACTGGAACCATTCTTGTAAACTGCTTTTACACACTTTCCAAAGTGTTCACATGGGGTTAAGGGTAGGGAGTTCAGGAGAAAAAGCATTGGTGAGGCTCTCAATAGTCTTCTACATGCCCCTCCATCCCCCCAGACCCTTTCCTGCTGGTGGGTGAGGGATGCAACCTAGGAGTGTTCATTTTTATATCCTCCCTACTTGGCGACTGTCATGGTCCCACTGATTGACTATCAGCCGTGGTGGAGAAAGGGCCTTCAGAGGCATGAATTGTCAATTTAAGGCCCAATTGCAGTGTGTCAGGAAGGCTTTCCACCAATCCTAAGGTGGAAGATGGCAGGGATCACATACACAGCCTGTGGCCCAATTAAATGACCTTGCCTGTAAATTCACCTGAGGGGAGGGCCAGACAATGTGCAATGGTCAACTAACCCTCAAAGGAAGGCAGGCAAGAGGATCATGGTTATCCTTCCATCATGAGTAGCTATCCATGGTCATTGGGCCAAAATAATTCAGACAATCATTTGAAACAAAATAAATTACATGCCCCTAAGAATAGGTTACAGTGCTCAGGGGCAAGGGTGTAATTTTCAGCAGATGGGCCTCATCGAGCAATTCTCATCAAGCAGACTTTGCAGGCACCATCCACATGGGGTGGTTCTCATCAGGTGGCCCTTGTGGTCAGCAGCCCCCATTGAGCAGTCTTCAGAGAGCTCTCCTCCAGATGGAGGATGAACCAGATGAAGAGGAGAAAGATCTGAGCAAGCATTCACTAAGACCTCAGCTAGAGAGCAAAAGGCTGCCCCACAACAAGACCAAAACTGAAATAACTCCGCAAAGGCTGGTATCTTGTCAACCAGTCACCCTTTACTTACTCGTGCATAGTACACGAAACTGACCCAGCTAGCTCAGAGCTGGCTCTCAGAGAGATCAGACCCTCTGACACTCCTTTTTATATCTGTCAGCCAGGGCTCCCTGATTGGACCAGATTAACAGCCGCAAACAGGGAACTCATATTCTATGAGGTCCACCTAGCTGACCTTGCTATAAAAACATTCCATGCTGACAGTCTGTTTGTCCTCAGATATCATGAAGCATCTCTAATTGTCACGGTTGTATACTTCCTTTATCTAATTAACTCATATGTCTCATCTAAACTACTGCTTCATAAACTCAAAAAACTATCAAAAATTACTACAAATCTTCAACTGCCTATATTAGGGCAGCTGTGATCATGAACATCTCCAAAATCAAAATCAACAACCATTAATTAATGAAACAAATTAAATATATAATCTATCAAGCCAAGTTTCCTCTGGAATCTGATTTATCCAGTAGTACCACGAGTTAAGATCTTAACAACTGATAGTGATAACAATATGAAGTTAGCTTGTTCATATGAGTTCAATGGGTATTAAAACAAACCATATTATGTCAATTTGATGTACATCATTAAATACAAATTTAAAGAGTCAGGTTTGAATCATATGTGCTACAATAGGCTATGTGCATGGGATTAAATCTTATTAACAGTTAAATTGAGGATCTGTGTGCTAACAACGTTACTGCATCTGTTCATAGTTGTTATTGCGCTCCTCTGAAACAGATGGGGCCAGGACCTGGCTCTTATAGCACAAAGGCAAGGGGTAGGCGATGGCCTAGTGGTATTATCACTGGATTGTTAATCCAGAGACCCAGATAACATTCTGGGGACCCAGGTTCAAACCCTGCCACAGCAGATGGTGGAATTTGAATTCAATAAAATATCTGGAATTAAGGATCTAAAGATGACCATGAATCCATTATCCATTATCGATTGTTGGGAAAAACCCATCTAGGTCACTAATGTCCTTCAGGGAAGGAAACTGCCATCCTTACCTGGTCTGGCCTACATGTGATTCCAGACCCACAGCAATGTGGTTGACTCTCAACTGCCATATGGGCAATAAATGCTGCCTGACCAGGGATGCACTCATCCCGTGAATGAATAAAAAAAACGACATTGTGCCACAAGGACCTATGTGCAATAGCTCATATACAATCCAATTCTGAATTTGCACTGAGTTTCTTGCAAGTGTGCCTTTTTTTTAAAAATTCCAGTGAATGCCAAACAATATTTATGATAATTATTGCTGATTTCATTTTAATAACTATATCTAGATTTATGTACCGGTGTGGCAACTCCAAATTTTCATCGTACATCTTTTCAAACGTTGGTTCCGCAGTCAAAGAAACAACAGTATGGATATTTTCCACAGCTTCTGTTGCTACCTTTAAATTAAAAGTACAGTTAAGCATTATTTACAATGTCAAAATTTCAATGCCAGGCAATGCCATCAGTAACTTTTTCTTACTAAATATGCACTAAGTCAGCATATTAATTTTGCAAATCAATTTTCTCTCCTTTTTGACAATTTATTTTTTGCTAAGCAACACCCCTGCACCCGGTAGTATTTCTCAAAGAGAATCCATGCCTCTGAAATCCCGTTCATTCACCTCCCACAGAGACACGTAAAAGAATCAGGCTGATTCACTACAATCCCCTTTTTGTGGGCAGTTGTGAACCATTTGCTTGTTATTGGAATATTAGTCTTCAAGAAGAGAACAGCAAGTATGATCTCAGTCCCTATAAATTGTATATTCTCTGCAATATTCAATGAGGTCACAAGCAACACATTAAGTGTACTGGAGGACATTAAAAAATTGTGCAGGAAAGGAACTTCAGCACATGTTTACAGGGCCTACAAAAAAGTCAATAGATGGTTTCAGAATGCCCATTTCTAAAATAATCTAGCAATGACAAAGTGTTAACAATGTAAGTTTAAATTCTGAGGAGGTGTTTGAGCTGTTATGTTCAATGCGATAAATTCTCCGATAGAGGATCACTTTTCCTCCCTGTGCTTCAAGTCAGGAGTCTATTCCATTACTGAAATTATCACTTAGTCATTACGCTGTAAGTATCATGTTGTGTGCTGGCATATTTTCCATATGCACTTTAATAGACATGGCTGTCATCAAAGTGCATATGCAGAAAATTATTTATTATATGATAAATTATCCGATTTTGCATGTTCATGTGTATTAATGTGTCCAAGCTGCCAAAAAACTGTCAAACAACTTAAAATATGGGATCAGTTGAAAGAATGTCACACATTGATTTTTTTTAAGCAATGAGAGTGCTTTTTAAATAGCAATGCCAACAACAGACACATATCTTTATCAACATGGCTCCTGAGATTTGCCCATGGTGGATATTAGGTGAGTTGGCATGGATGGGGGAGGGTATAGTTTGTTGGCTGGGGCAAAGGATTAGTGTGAGTTGACGCTCACTTGTTACGGGGCTATAGAGGGCTAGGATGGTGGATACAATGCCACAGGGCATTAGAATAAGGCATTATGGGGGTGGGTAGAGTGGACCCGAGTCACTTCAAAGGAATGAGAAGCCATTGGGATGGCAGAGAGGTATACAGTAATAGAAGTGTATGAGGAGGCATGCAGGATATGTGAGGTGAATAGACAGGCATATGGTGGCATAACATTTGTGGAGTTGGCTGTAGGAATGAGTGGAGAGGCATAGGGAAGCATGGGAGTGAGTACAAGGAGGCATGGCTTGGCACAGATGGGGAATGGGGATTGTCTGGGAAGAAGGAAGTGAGTGCCAAAGAAATTTTTTAACATTAAACTGTTGTGCAGTATCAATGCACAAATACAGGTCCTGTGCATCCATTGTTAGCAGCCTCTGTTTTTATTCTGGGTGTGCTCGACCCACCTCCCTAGGAATCCCACCAACAAAAGTCCAACCTTCCAGAGCACTTTCCCAGACTGGATTTGTGCACCCCTAAGCTAGGAGCGAAAGTGTGGACTTGAACATTTGAATTGTATACGTGTGTAGTCTGTGCGGCTGCGTATGTGTTTGTATGGGTGTAGATGTGGGTGAATTACAACAGATGAGTATACACACTCATTTCTCCATGCTATTTTGTCAAAGAGGGATAAAATATTGTGTACAAAAAAATTAGGTTATATATCCATATCGTCATCATACTACATTCTTCAACATTTAATAATCAGTATATTTGAGATTAATCAGGCTGTGATGACTTTACCTTTCCAGCTGCTTCAAGGTCTTTTTTATCACGACTTGTGTATCCTGTTAGAGATTTCATTTCAACCACTCCGGCCACAGCAAGGATGGGCACCATTGCTAGGACCAACAAGCTCATCTGCCATCCAAATATGAATGATATAATAACAGCAGATCCCATGCTTGCAATGTTTTGTGCTATTAGTCCTAATCTTGAACCTACAGTCTGAAATGAAATAAAAATTGATATGCATTTTATAAGAAGTTTATCTAATTGTTATCTCAGACATTAAGTGGACAGTGCAAAGAATTAATGTCTATCCTGTACACCACCTGCCTTTGTACTTCTGTTACTTTGTTATATCTTTCCATTCTTTCAAAATTTTCTTAAGTGTCTTTCAATTCAGCCATTCCCTTATGTTCTTATTTTAACCTTTTCTACCTGCTGCTTAGTGCCTGACCCTCCACTGTGCTTTGGCAACTCACACATCCATGGAACCTGTCTGCTTCTGATGCTACTCATTTCCATGAGATGAAACAGGCCATTTGACCCATCGAGGCCACACAGACCCTCCGAAGAGCATCCCACCCACATCCACTCCTGTACCCTATAACCCTGCATTACCCATGGCTAATTCTCTTAACTTACACATCCCTGGACACGATGGGCCATTCATCATGGCCAATCCATCTAACCCTGCACATCTTTGGACTGTGGGAGGAAACCAGAGCGATGAAGGAAACCCATACAGATACAGGGAGAATGTGCAAACTTCACACAGACAGTCGCCTGAGGATGGAATCAACCTGGGGCCACTGGTGTGAGGCAGCATTTCCTAACCACTGAGCCACCTTGCCGCACCTGATGGGATAGCAAGATTGAAAATTCTCCCCCAGTCCTTCTCTAAGGAAGGGTCACCAGACCCGAGATGTTAACTCTGATTTTTTTCTTCAAGGATCCTGTCAGATCTGCTGAGCTTTTCCAGCAACTTTTGATTTTGTTCCTGATTTATAGCATCTGCGGTTCTTTCGGTTTTAATAAAATTTGGAAGGCTGCTCTCTTGTCTCCAATAAATAGCACTGGTAAAGGACTGACAGCTCATTTCTTTATTTAAAACCAAGAAATGGGGCATAGTTTATGGAAATCTAAAGAAATAAACTAATTTGAGCAGATGATTGCCAGGAAAGGCTGTGGAGGCCAAGGCATTGAGAGTATTTAAGATAGATATAGATAGTTTCTTGATTATTTGGGGGAATTAAAGGTTATGGGGAGAATGAGGTTGAGAAATATATCAGCCATGATTGAATGGATGGGCCGAATGGTCAAATTCTGCTCCTATGTCTAATGGTCTTATGATCCATACTTTCAACGGCATTGGAAAGACAATGTAGAGCTAACCAAATAGGCACAGCTGGAATGCCTGCCAGGAACTGGAGAGACAAGTCAGTTTGGAGAACTGCTACAGTGCTTGTTGGCACACCCAACCCAAGACAAAGCCACTGGTAGTGTTGAGTTGGAGACTCTCTATAATGGGTTTTCTCATTATGCAGTGGGAGAGGGGAGTATTTCTTTTGGTTCTGCATTAGGTCTGTCACCAGCACAGAGTAATGTCTGTAATTTTACCTCAATTTTCATGGATCGTGGTAGTTAGACCTGGCATGACCTGCTGAATTGGAAGTCCTGCCCATGAAAACCTTTAAGTGGGAAGTAATCTAAAAATGGGTTCTGAAGATTTCAAGTGAGAAGACATCAGTTATTTCCTTCAGCAGCTTCTTTCATTGAGAGATTAAGGCATGAGACAGTTGGCAAGTGTAGTGGGGATTTAGTAAGATCCAGTTTAGTTGGATCCAAACAGCAGACTTATACCTGAGTACATGTTCACAAAATCTTATGGATTTACGTCGAGCGGAATTTCATTTTCTCTCACTGCACCACCCATAAATTAAGCAAAAGTCTCATTCGTACACTTTGATAGGGTGGCTCCCAAAGATCAGCGCAGTTTGTCTGGTCCTGAGGAAATCCTCAGTGATGGTTTTCCCCTACTTCCCAGGAAACTTCAACAGCTGCACTTACACTTACAGCCAGAAAGATTCACGGGCCCACTGTTTATGGAGAGGCAAAGCCAAGGACATGGAGATCTTGTTGAATTATCCCACTTGCTGCCATTCAGCTGAGATGTCAAATTGAGATACACTTTGGCATCTAGGTAGGAGGTTACTCTCACAAAACTTCAGGGATGGTCATGGAAATTGGGGGATGGTAGGGCTGTAGAAAATGGGAAGTGGTAGAGAGGTTTGATCAGACACTAGGGTTGGGTGAATGGGGTGACAGAAATCAGCGCGGGACTGGCATTGTTGAAGATTGGGATTTGGAGCGGCAGTAAAGGAGAAATTAGCTGCCATCATAGCATGGAGAGGAAATTGATGCTGAGGTGGATGGGACTGTGGGAGTAGAGTTCTGTGATCAAGGTATTGGGGAAGTAGAAAGATCATCATCAGCAGTAAGGAGGTCAAATGCTTCCTTGTGGAATTTTGCTCTGTTTTGCCCAAAGGACTAAAGCAATTTCTTGTAATGCAAACTCTTTATTGAAGTACATAATTATACTTGAAAACACAATTCTCATTCCAAGCAATCATACAACACATCCATGATCCTGCCAGATGACATTATTTTGAAATCAGTGATTTCAGAAGCTGATAATGTATGATAAATGCAGAACTTTGGAATGTGTACAGAAAGCAAGTTACGCACTGTTTGGACTTGCGATGCCTCTGTTGCCAGTCTTGTGATTAGGGCACCAGTGCTGTTTTTCTTATCATCAAACCAAGCAATCTCCTAGAGACAGAATGAAGCAGAGACTATGAATGGAATGGAGAAGCAAAATGAAATATTGCTAGCACTGACAATTCCTGATTTGTGAATTGCTGTACATTTTGACAATTTTGACTTTTGACAACACATGATGCATGAAAATACATTGATTGTGTGTGTGTCTCTGTGTGTGTGTGTGCGTGTCTGTGTGTATGAATTCAGTGAGTTTTAGTTTAGGCTATACTGATGTACATCTTATAGCTACGACACTAATTTAAATAGAGCATTTAATGTTTTAGAAGTTTCTCATGGTGTTCCTCAGGAAGATTGTCAATGTATAAAACCAATTTACACAAGGAGAATAAAAGGCAAAGTAACCAAAAACCTGACAGAAGAACGGCATCTTAAAAAAAAGAGAGAATGAAGATTGGCAAATACTTGTCTGATATTCTGATTTAGTACTTGGCAGAGACTTGGAACAGAATTCTTGATAAACACATTCATGAGCTGCATTATACTAGCAGAAATCCTCATTTCCTTTAGTGGACACATGAAACAAATTTTCAACACATGTAATCACTTCAAACCTGTTGATGTAAATGGATGTTTAGAGAGTGCCACAGAAGTTATAGTTTAAAAAGACACAGAAATAAAGGGAGAAAGCTAAGTTTAAAAATATTATCATTAATGATAGATAGTCACAGATATTCTTCTTTGGTTCTGTTCACCAACATAACAACTTATATTTGTACCGTGCCTTTAATGTTTTAAAATATATCATGGCATTTCGCAGGATGATACAAATAGGGTGAAATTAGGGCAAATGGCCAAAAGATTACAGTGGTGGAACAGGTTTGAGGGAGATCATCTAACATACAGGTGGAATGCCATAGTTTAGAGATCACCAAAAGCAGCAGAAAAACCAAGGCAGAGGCAGAATCAGGCCAGTTGCCAAAATAAATAGGCAATGTCAGCGATGGTGAGATACGTTGTCAGAAGCTCATATGGGGGTCAATATGACATCAGCCTTTCAAACAGATTGTTGTAGACTCAAACATTTGCTCAGGAGTGGCATGGAATTGATAGCCAGGGAACTGAATACTACTTTTTTGCAGGAACTCTCTCATCATGAGATGACACTAAGGAAATATTAGTTATTGTGAAAACATTTCTCGGCCTACTCCTTTTGAAACAATATAAATCAGTCAGGTTTTAGACCCAAGAAGTGTTCATGAACATCACATCATGTTGCATCCCAATTACTAACCTGACGTAACATTGACTTGAAGGCCATATATCTCAGTTTCTGAGTGAGGATTTCCCCAGCCTTTCCAAACATAAAACCCTGAAAACAACAAAGCAAGTTTCAAATGATATTTTTTAGATCATTATCCAATTACCAGAACATTTCAAAAAGCCAAGCATAAACTTTTAAAATCTTTAAATTGTTAACAGATTGTGGTGATCTGTGCTGTCATGTTCATTAACTTTTTCAAAAATAGCATTGAATTTTCATTTATCTGTTAGTGCCATTGTTCATTGACCATGTGAAACAAAATTGGGTGTTAGGCCCTGTGAGGGTCTGAGTTTCCAAATTGGAAACTGGCAAGTCTCTATAATTTCAGGACCATATAGCATCTCACACACTTACTATCTATATATCGGTAATATTGTACCATTACATTTCTACCACTATAGGTTGTCCTTTCTGTTAGACCTGTAGCCCCAAACAGTATTTATACATTGCATTTTTTATTGCTTTTTACCCATACATGGTCAATTCTCTGATGGTTAGTTTGTATCCAAATGAAAATAAACTATTTGTCTGGCAGTGTTCAAGGTACTGTCTCCAATTTCCACTCTTGATTTATCTTTCACATTCAAGTGACTATGAAACAGCAAGGGAAGAAAGCATTTTGTGAGTTTTTTTTTATAAGTCCCCTAAAAGTAGTTGTAGTGTAGAGCACAGTATAAATCAGGAAATTAGAGGTTCATGTAGTAAGGGTAATATGGTATTTATGTAAAGCATTAATATTTATACAGTCTGGGCAAAACAAATTTGTAATGGAAGAGGACATACAGAATGTGTCCAAGATTGTTTTCTGGATCAGTAGGTTGAAGAACCAGTTATGAATAGACTATTTGGCTCTAGTGTTGTACAATGGGAAAAGGTTGATTAATAACCTTGTAATACAGGGGTCTCTAGAAAAGGGTGGCCATTGTATGCTAGAACATTGTAATGAGTTTGGAAGTTATCTGATTAAGTCCAAAATGAGGGACTTATACCTAAACAAAGCAAAGTGATTCAACCATGAGGAAAGAGTTAACTAAAGTTGATTGGGAAACTACATTAAAAGATACATGAGATAACAAGGTGTAGAGCTGGATGAACACAGCAGGCCAAGCGGCATCAGAGGAGCAGGAAGGCTGACGTTTCGGGCCTAGACCCTTCTTCAGAAATGGAGGAGGGGAAGGGCATTCTGAAATAAATAGGGAGAGAGGGTGAGGCGGATAGAAGATGGATAAAGGAGAAGATAGGTGGAGAGGAGACAGACCGGTCAAAGAGGCGGGGTTGCAGCCAGTAAAGGTGACTGTAGGTGGGGAGTTAGGGAGGAGATAGGTCGGTCCAGGGAGGACTGACAGGTCAAGGGGGCAGGATGAGGTTAGTAGGTAGGAGATGGGGGTGGGGCTTGAAGTGGGAGGAGGGGATAGATGGGAGGAAGGACAGGTTAGGGAGGCGGGGACGAGCTGGGCTGGTTTTGGGATGCGGTAGTGGGAGGGGAGATTTTGAAGCTTGTGAAGTCCACATTGATACCATTGGGCTGCAGGGTTCCCAAGCGGAATATGAGTTGCTGTTCCTGCAACCTTCGGGTAGCATCATTGTGGCACTGCAGGAGGCCCAGGATGGACATGTCGTCTGCGGAATGGGAGGGGGAGTTGAAATGGTTCGTGATTGGGAGGTGCAGTTGTTTAGTGCGAACCAAGCATAGGTGTTCCGCAAAGCGGTCTCCAAGCCTCCGCTTGGTTTCCCCGATGTAGAGGAGGCCACAACGGGAACAGCGGATGCAGTATACCACATTAGCAGATGTGCAGGTGAACATCTGCTTGATGTGGAAAGTCTTCTTGGGGCCTGGGATGGGGGTGAGGGAGGAGGTGTAGGGGCAGGTGTAGCACTTCCTGCGGTTGCAGGGAAAAGTGCTGGGTGAGGTGGGGCTGGAGGAGAGTGTGGAGCGGACAAGGGAGTCACGGAGAGAGTGGTCCCTCCAGAAAGCAGATAAGGGTTGGGAGGGAAAATGTCTTTGGTGGTGGGGTCGGATTGCAGATGGCGGAAGTGTCGGAGGATGATGCGTTGGATCCGGAGGTTGGTGGGGTGGTATGTGAGGATGAGGGGGATTCTGTTTTGGTTGTTATTGTGGAGACGGGGTATGAGGGATGAGTTGCGGGAAATGCGGGAGACACGGTCGAGGGCGTTCTCGACCACTGAGGAGGGGAGGTTGCGGTCCTTGAAAAACGAGGACATCTGAGATGTACGGGAGTGGAATGCCTCATCCTGGGAGCAGGTGCGGCGGAGGCAAAGGAATTGGGAATAGGGGATGGCATTTTTGCAGGAAGGTGGGTGGGAGGAGGTGTATTCTAGGTAGCTGTGGGAGTCGGTGGGCTTGAAATGGATATCGGTTTCTAGGTGGTTGCCGGAGATGCAGACAGAGAGGTCCAGGAAGGAGAGAGAGGTATTAGAGATGGTCCAGGTGAACTTAAGGTTGGGGTGGAAGGTGTTGGTGAAGTGGATGAACTGTTCGAGCTCCTCGTGGGAGCACGAGGCGGCGCCGATACAGTCATCAATGTAACGGAGGAAGAGGTGGGGTTTAGGGCCAGTGTAGGTACAGAAGAGGGATTGTTCCACGTAACCTACAAAGAGGCAGGCATAGCTTGGGCCCATGCGGGTACCCATGGCCACCCCTTTTGTCTGTAGGAAGTGGGAGGAATTGAAAGAGAAGTTGTTGAGGGTGAGGACGAGTTCGGCTAAGCGGATGAGGGTGTCAGTGGAGGGGGACTGGTTGGGCCTGCGGGACAGGAAGAAGCAGAGGGCCTTTAGGCCATCTGTATGGGGAATGCAGGTATATAGGGACTGGACATCCATGGTAAAGATGAGGCGTTGGGGACCGGGGAATTGGAAGTTCTGGAGGAGATGGAGGGCATGGGTGGTGTCATGGACGTAGGTAGGGAGTTCCTGGACCAAGGGGGAGAAGATGGAGTCCAGATAGGTGGAGATAAGTTCGGTGGGGTAGGAGCAGGCGGAGACAATGGGTCGACCAGGGCAGTCAGGTTTGTGGATTTTGGGAAGGAGATAGAAGCGGGCGGTGCGGGGTTGGGGAATGATGAGGTTGGAGGCAGTGGGTGGGAAGTAACCTGACACTGGCCATTTAATTTATAGAATACAGCAAAGACTGCTGTGCAAAGGGGGCATGGCCTGCTTTTCTCCAACTATCCTGTACTACAACAGATCTGTCAGAATTACAGCATGTTTCACATTTCTGATGGAGCCCTATTGGAACGTCCTAAGAGGAATACAAAGGAGTGGAATGGCAACTGGAGTGTGACTGCCACTCCTTGGAAAACCTAGCCCATAATGACAATAAATGGCTTGCATTTAAAGGATTAGGACATAATTTACAACAAATGTATATTCCTTTAAGGCAGAAACACTACACATAACATGATTCAAATGTGACAAAACTGAGGAATTAATAACTTTAGAGCAAAGGAAAAGGCTTCAATGTTCATAAAAGATTTCTGAAGATTGGGAGGATTTTGGAATTCAGTAATGGTGATCCAAAAAATTGGCATGGCAAGAGAAAATAGGAAATGGAAATAGAGCAACAAAAGACTTGAGGTCAGAAAGTAAACTTTTCTATTGGATTATCAACAAAGAGATGCCTGTAAATAAACATAGGCCTATTTAGAAGTGGAAGGATGAAACTAAATGGGGAATAAGGAAATGGCAGAGACATTAAATTAGTACATTCTATCTGTCTCTACAATAGAAAACACAAAACTAATTCTGGGAAAAAGTGAGGAACCAAATGTTTCGCATAAAAAATGAACTTAAAGAAATGATACTGGATAAACCAAAGAATTAAATGGCAACAAACATTCTGAAACTGACAAGCATGTTTGTGCATACAACTCAAATGGGCTTATCAGAAGAATAATCATTTTTGATCAGACTACCATGGCTATGCCTGAGTAGCTTGACTTTGCACAATTAAAAATAATTTTAAAAGATAAAAGTATCGTTGACAATCTGAAAAAATAATGGCTAGCACTGTTGCTCCGAGATCTTCAGATCTTATCTGATACTAACCCATTTGAGAAAAATGGGTCATTGCCAGAATTAAAGTAACATTGATGGGCATATATGATTGTCATAGCCAAACATTGACTCTGGCAGTCCAGTAGAGCTTCCTGCAGACAAAATATACTTCTTTTTTGTGTATTTATTTTCTTCTGAGGCAGTACCTCATGATCAAGGAAGACTTTGCTCCATTCCAAGATAATTGGTAAGTCAAACGTGCAATTACCAGCCTCTGTCAGGGTAGGTGATACTTGAAGGGTAAAGTTGATGAGGTTTGAATGCTCTCCCAAAAACCCATTTTGCCTCCACACTTACCCAATAAAGACTCGCATTATGTTCAGTGTCTTTCAATTTCAGCCACTCCTGAGTTGGCAGCTATGTTCACTCATTCAGGGATACTTTGAGGTCTTCCCTAAGTAGTCTTTCTAGGTGTCTCCTGCCACAACCAAGCTCCAAATACAGCATTGGTGCCAGGCATATGCACAATATATACAACCCAGTTGAGCTGGTTTTGAGTGGTCAGCATCTTGATGCTTAATACTAAGCAAGTTGGCTTTAGGAAAAATACTGCTGTTGGACTGCCTTTTTTGTCACTTGACCAATGCTTTTTCTGCTGCTCGCTGTCCAAGACTCTGAAGTCCTACAGAAACATGGCAATCAGAATTGCCTGGTAAATTATGACCTTAGTCTTGAGTTTGAGATCCTGGTTCTCAAATAATCAGAATGCAGGACTAGAAGCCAGCTCCTCACACAAAAGTTATGTGTATTATAAACTGCTGACTTGAAGAGCATAAATGCAGATGCTTTTAAATATTTTCATAGACAACTAAATTGCATGTGGCTGTCTTTATGTCCAGAACATATTTCACATGCTGAATGTGAAAACTTTGAATGAATGTATTATTCCAATCCTTTTCACATTTTAATTTCCTAAATGTTTAAAATCCACAGGGGCATTTTTGTCTATCCATATTGCTGTTCTTATTTTATTTTAATTAATTTTTAACATTATTTCTCCTCTGTTTGATTTGATGACTTTATCCCTGGATATTATTGTTTGTTCAACATAATACTTAGAATATTGCATATGATAAAGCTTTTTCAATATTTTGCATGATAGTGAGCCATCTTAAATCTCCAGTTATATTTTGAGACATTTGTTGCAGTCACTTGGAAATAAAATGCAACTACCTTGATACATTATTAAATATATTATTCGCAACATAAGATACTTACTTGTAAGAAATATGTAACAAAGGAAATTATACCGATAACAAAGAATAAAATAGAATAAAGATCTGCTTGTTGCCTGATCACTGCTGTATCGGTTTCAGTAAAGATCTGGAGGAAGAAACAAAATGGATTAACTTTGAAAGATTAAACTGTACTTTAGTTAAGAGATAAATAACATTAGGAGAAAAAATCTTCAAGTGTTGTGGCTGTAATGTAAAAAATACAAATCACAATTGCTTCATTGTCCCATTGTCAGATATCTGCTGCTCATTGTCTTCATCTCAAGGGAATTATATCTTGCTGTGAAATTTTAATTTTGAATACTTTATGCCAATAGCTCTATATTAATGAAATGTGTTAACCCTTATTTAAATAAAATAAATGTCCCTTCCCACACTTATCCTAGGCTTCCCCATGTCCCCTTCCCAGCCCCAGCCCCAGCCTAAACTCTGTGAAATAGCTAAGAACTTGGTTACCAATGAGGTGATGCACAACAGCAGTGGAAAATAAGCTTCGCATGAGTCTGCAGGTGCTCTTTAATACCAAAACATTTGTTTATTACATCTATAAAGTTAGAAAGACCTTAACACAAACAGCAAAATAAAGTTTAACCTGTTTCCGTATATGATTTTACAAAATTTTACAGAAATTCAAGCCAAGAGCAATTTCACTCCTATCTCTACACTTTGTTTCGACATAACTGGCTCCTCTCAGTTTCTTTTCCTTGGATTGTGGAGCCAACTTTACAATTACTTTCTTAGTCTGCTAACACAAACCCTTCACAATTCTGAAGGCCTAAACTTTTTCAGTTCTGACAATTCGAAGATTTCTATATAAACTCTCCTGCCTTGCAATTTAAAACTCTTTGGAGAATGTGACTGGTTTCCCTGAACTAAAACTAAACTTGCTTCTGATCTCAACTCCTAGTTCTTTTTGCCTCGAATGTTCCAATTTACATTCTGAAGTCAAAATTAAACTTATTGCCTTGATGTGTTTTCACCGTCTGTCATAAACTCAACAACATTTATCCATCAGCACAACAAGGGTTCCTCTGAGGCACTTGATTGCATAGAGTCATAGAGCATGGAAACAGACCCTTCGGTCCAACCAGTCCGTGCTGACCATAATCCCAGATTAAGCCAGTCCCACCTGCCTGCACTTAGTCCATATCGCTCCAAATATTTCTTAGTCGAGTGCTTACCTAAATGTCTTTTAAACATTATAAGTGCACTCACATTCACAAATTCCTCTAGAAGTTCATTCCACACGTGAATCACTCACCGTGTTAAAAAAAAAATGCCCCTCGCGTCTTTTTTAAATGTCTCCCCTCACCTTAAAAATATACCCTCTAGTCCTGAAATCCCCCACCCAAGGGAAAAGACACCTGTTATTCACCTGATTTATACCCTTCATGATTTAATAAACCTCTATAAGGTCACCCCTCAACTTCCTATGCTCCAGTGTAAAATCCCATTTTATCTAGCCTCTCCTTAAGATTCAAACCCTCCATTCCCAGCAACATCCTGATAAGTCGCTTCTGAACTCTCTCAGCTTAATAATATCCTTCCTGTAATAGAGCGACCAGACTGGACACAGTGCTGCAAAAGAGGTCTCACCAATGTTCTGTACAACGTCAACATAACATCCTAACTCTGATATTCAAAGGTCTGAGTAATGAAGGTATGCGGGCTATACAGTCACATATTTTCTTGGAGTTGATGAACTTAAGTCATTTCTCCAAATTAAATTCTGCCTTGTTTTCTAAAAAACATAGTTCCGTTGAACTGACCTGTACTATCTGCCTCTATATTTAAATCCAAATCCCAAAATACAATATATAACGCAAACTAATGGCAGCAAACTATTATATGCACTGAATAATGAAAATAAATGTTTAAAAAAGTGTTGCATGCTTACACTAATAATTTTTGCAAATATAATGCAAAAGGCAGGATGAGTTGCTCCATTGATACTCGCACCTATGACTCCCAGAAATATGTAAGGCCACTCTGATTTGTTCAATTTGAAAAGTTTCAGAAATGAAACACTTTGGAGTTTTTCTTCCTATTATTGAAAAAGACAAGAATCAGACAAATTTAAGTTTTTTGGTACATGCATATCAATGGATATTTCAGCCAGATACACATGACACTGAGCTTTTTTGGTGAAGACAAGGTGGCCTAAAGAAAAAAAATGTCACTTCATGCTATCCTAAGGTGGAATATAAAATTCCAATCATCAGGAGATCAGATCTTCAGGCAAACTAGGGCAGTTTAATCCAGCCAGATGACATTTTTGGAGGAGAATTGTGTGGTTAAAAATATCAATTATACACACCAATCACATGTAAGGGTACCAGCCAAGCCAGTTACTTCATTCACCCATAAAACATATTGGAAAATGTGCGGGTGTTTCTGAACATCTGCTTTTACAGATTTTTAATGCTTTGAATAGTGATTTATTTTTGCACATCAGAACTCTCAACTAACCAGCGATGATCCTCCTTGAGGTGAAGAGGCATTGATTTAGTCGAAGTTTGGAATTGAGGTGGTGGCATAGCAACACAAAGATCGCACTCCCAAATATCAAAAACAATCAAAGGAGATTTGGCAATTTGATATATGAGCCAGGCAGACTGGAATTAATTCAGGAAACTACATTATCAATAAGCTGAACAAAAAAAACGAAAGAACTACGGATGTTGGATATTTGGTTTGGCCCACTCAGATAACCTAGAATGAATAAAATTGCCAGAAGACACTCTGGCCCTAGAAAACTATGCTGGATGATCAATAGGATGCCTTGCTCTGATGAGCTACATGGTATTTTCTGGTTAAACACCTGTAAGCTTGTTGTTCTCTGCCAATCTGTGTTGAAGCTCTAAAATCTTAAGTGACTGGATCCATGGACAGACAGAAACCCATAGTGCAGGTTTTGTCATAGTTTACTCTCTTAAGTTGAAAGATTTCTGCAAATATCAGACACATGGCTATCAAAAACTCCTTCTTATGTGAAGTGGATAATTAGTTAATTAATAGTAATCTGTGAGGCCCAATAAAAGAATTGCACTTGCTTTACTTGTAAGTCTAGGAGTAAGTTTGAGATCAAGATTACATTACCTTTGCCTCATTTTTTTCCACTTCAGTTTCAATCTCATTACCACTTCTCGTACTTGATTTATTAGACAGTGTGCGCTTGTGGAGAAGATTTTCAGATTCATCCTGCTCTTCGCCATTTTCTGTTTTCCTGTTTTCTTCCTCTGTGCTTTTAAAAGACTTTAGATATAGCAAACAATAAATAGTTTATTGCAATTAATTGCAAAATAACCTTACCATCTGACAGATTAAATTGAGTGTCTTTTCTGCATGGAGATCATTCAAATGGTAACTTCTAAACAATTTCATTTCCACATGAAAATGATCCAAGTATGAATCAATTACTGGACTGTTTTGATATTGTAATGTTTAGAAATACTAATTCCATCTTTTCACTTAATAGAAGGTGGAATTGATTTTGATTTTGAATGTCAGAAATCTAGAGTTTGCCAGTCTGTCATCCAAGTCATTTAGTCCTTCGGTCCACTAGTCTGATTACTCACCGTAAATGTATGCTCTCTATAAAACCTTCCAGTCAGTTACATAAATATCAATCTTTAACTTGTAATTTCCTGCACAGTAATTAAAAAGTATTGATTCTCAGTTAACAATACAAGGCTATTTCAGTAATACACTCACATACAAACATATCAATTAGGACCAGGGGTCCTTCGGCCATTTTGGTCAATTTGATTGTAACTTTATTTCCACCTACCCCTGATAATCTTACACTCCCTTGCTTACCAAGATTCTATCTATCTGTGGCTTAAAACCATTCAAAAATTTTGCTTCCACCACCCCTTGAGAAAGAAAGTTCCAAACATTCATGACACTCTGACAGGAAAAAAAAAGTTCTCCTTATCTCTGTCTTAAATTAAACTCCTTGTGTTTTAATGATAACCTCTAGTTCTAGATTCTCCCACAAGATGAAACATCTTTCCCACATCCGCCCTGTCAAGACCTCCGAGGATTTCATATGTTCCAATCAAGCTGACTTTCACTCTTCTAAACTGCAGCAGATTCAAGCCAAGCCTGTCAACTCATTCTTCATAAGACAACTCATCTATTCCAGTTATTAGTCTAGTAAACCTTCTCTGAACTGTTTCCAATGTATTTACACCTGTCCTTAAATAAGGAGGCCAATACCGACACAGAACCAGGTGTATGGTATATCAGTTCTGCAAACTCTCACCAATTAAATACAATGAATCAATTTTATCTTTGCTGCCAAAATTGATAATTTTACATTTTCTCACATTTTACTTCATTTGCCATATTCTTGCCCATTCACTTAACCTTCCTATATCCATTTGTAGCATCCTCCTGTCCTTTTCACAACTCATTAAATCTTACCAATAATCTGTGTCCTGTTAGCTAACCATCTGTGATCCATGCCAATATAACACCCACTACACCATAAGCCTTTATTCTCTTCAGTAACCTTTGATGTGGCACCTTATCAAATGCCTTATGGAATTCTAAATACATTATATCCACTTGTTCTCCTTTATCCAGTACATGTGTTACTTCTCCAAAGAACTCTTTTAAATTGGTTAAATACGATTTCCCTTTCACAAAACGTTGTTGACTCTACCTGGTTACCTAAAAAGTTTCTATTTGCCCTGCCATAACATCTTTAGTAATGGGTTCTAACATTTTCCCTAAGATAATTGTTAAGCTAAATGGCCTGTTTAGTGTTTTACATATTTATGCTTTTTTGATTAAAAGAGTTGCATTTGCTATCATCCAATTGGAGGGAATTTTGGAAAATTAGAACCAATATATCACCTTACTCACTAGCCACAATTTCTTTTTAAGAACCCAGGATGAAGTCCATCAGGACCTAGGGAGTTGTCAAAACACAGCTCCAACAGTTTGCTCAGTTCCAGTTGCCTGGCGATTATAATCTTCTTTTGTTCCTCCCCCCTCCCATTTCCTGAATTGTGAATATTTTTGGGATGTTACTTGCATCCTTTACAGTTAAGACAATGCAAAATATCTATTTTATTTATCTGCCATTTCCTTACTTTCTATTATTAATTCCTCAGACTCACTTTCAACAGGGCCAATGTTCATTTTGTTAACTTCTCTCCTTTTTAACAATTTATAGAAACTCTTGTACTTTAATTTTTCACTTCTTATTAATTTTTTAGTACTTCTTTGTTTTATTTATTCTATGCAATCTTTTGAGCTGTCACACATCTTTTCAAAATTGTATGCTTTTTCTTTAAGTTTCATTTTGTCTTTAACTTATTTAGTTAACAATGGATGGTGGGTTCACCCCTTAGGTTTTTTTTCTTCCTTTTTGGAATGCATCTATCCTGAATATCCTGAAAAATGCCTTTAAATTTCTGACATTAAATTTCTTCTCTATTGACTTATCCCATAATCTAATTTGTCAGTTCAATTTAGCCAGGTCTGCTTTCGTGGCCTTAAGTTTTGAATCCTAGTCTTGGACATTATTCTTTTCCTCAAATTGAATGTAAAATTCAATCATATTATTATCGCTGCAATTTCAAGGAGCCCTCGTTATTTAGTTATTAGTTAATTTTGATTTTTCTGAATCAGGCTGCCAAATTGCCAACTTTTGGATGAACTATGACTGCATCCATTAGCACCTGAGATAATTCTACTGAAACATAATTTATTTAACTTGGTCTTAATTTGAATTCAAGTAAAATAGTAAAGGACTGGAACCCATAAACCCACGGTCTATAAACCCAATAATTATTTTTCTGCATCCTATTCCAGTATATGCATGTTCTAATTTTCACCATCACCAGGAAAATTTGATGCCAGATAATTATTTAATATGTGTTACACTTTGATTTTTCACAATCAGATTCATTTTATCAAAGTTCTTATTTCTTTTTAAATATACTTTTTATAAATCTTGATTATTTTATTGGATAGTATATTTAAATGTTGACTCTAATCTCCTAATTTCTAATCTCCCATTTTATTGCCATTCAGATTTTCTATTCTGCTAATTTTGTGTTGTTACCTCTAATATTAACTTAAAAAAGGAGCAATAGTAGACCATCCAGCATCTTCACCATCCTTTGCCATTCAATACAACTGTGTCAGATCTTCAGCCTCCATTCTGTTTTATTTCGTGCTCCCCATTTTCTTTGCTTTCCTGGGAGACTATTGAAATTATCTTAATTAATTAATCTCAGCCTCAAATATACCCAAAAGTGGAGCATCAACAACTTCATTGAGTAGAGAATTTCAAAGACCTTTTCAGTGAGGAATTTTCTCCTCATCTAAGTCCTAAATGTTTGGCCCTTTTCCAAAGACTGTCCTCCCAGGATCTAGATCGTTTTGTCTGGCTGATCAATCTCTCAGGGATAATCTTATGTTTTTTTTTAAGCTACGTGTGTGTCACCTCTAGTTTGGTGGCGTGAGTCTCTCCACCAGGCCTATTGAGTTTTCTCACCGAATTTTACTAACTCACTGCATTAATTGGTGGTTCAGCCCTCATAGCATGTATTACCTGTGATTTCCATCCTATCAGAAAATGCATCATTCTTGGAGAAATTTGGCACGTCACTTGGGAAAAGCTAGCAAGATGAAGCAAGATGGTCTTGACATTAAGATGAGCCTTGCTGAACATCTCACCTAATTCTACTACTCATCTGCCCATAGCACATGTCATTCAGACCCTGACAAGATTCCACGCTCAGTGTCTTCTGTGTAAAGCCCCTTCAAAATCTTGCATATTTTACCGCAATGATGCCTCAGTCTTTAAACCAGAGAACTTCACTCAGCCTGTCATCATTGGACAACCCTTTCATTCCAACAATCAACCTAGTGAATTTTTGTTGTATGGCCTCCAAGCTAAGTACAATCTTCCTTCATTATGGTGGCCAAAACTGTGCACGATATTCCAGGTGTGATCTCAGCAAAGTTCCAGACAATTGTACCAAGACTTTTTCATGCTTACCATTTAGAAGCCTTTTAAATATAGTCAATATGCCATTTGCCTCCTAATTGCTTGTTACACCTGCATGCTAAATTTCTGTGTTCCTTGTGTGAGGATACTCAGGTAACTCTGAATATCAATATTTTCAAGTTTGACGCCTTGTAAAAACTATTCTATTTTTCTACTCCTATTACCGAAATGAATAGTCTTACACTATGCCTCTTTATGCTCAATATGTCACCTTTTTTCTCCTCAGTTAATCTGCCTATTTTCCTGTGCAGCCCCTCACAGCTTATATTATCAGTGAAATAGGAATGAGAGGGAGTTAATATTAATGGGGTTAAAATTAAGGTTAATGCATGTCTCGAAGTAAGTGCTGGGGTTGTGCTTGATTTCTTCCTGGCATGATGGGATAGTGTGGTTTTGGGCATGTTCGCTTAGCAATTGAAACAATAACAGCCTGTGCAAGCTTTGTATTCATTACTACATAGAGAAAGGAGCAAAGGGAATCTGAAGCCCATTAAAGATGATTGAATCACAATGGAAATCAATAGGCTCAAGACTGAACATTGAGATAACATCAGCCTATATGATGTCGAAAACTGTAAATATATGCTGTAAACCCTATTATTGAGAAGTTCTATCTGTAACCCTTCAATAATCTATAATGAAATATTTGCTTCCTGACTCACACTTGCTTGAGAGGAATTATTGTTCTCTGCAAACTTTGCTACACTGCTTGCTACCTCTTCATCTAAGTCGGTAAGATAGATATGAAATAGTTAATGTTTCAGCACTTATCCATGACTTGCAACCTGCTAAAATGTGCTCTTAATCCTTACTTTCTGCTTCCTGCCCATTAAACCATTTCTATTTTTAAAAATTTCTGTCATGGGATATGGGTGTCACTGGCTGAGCCAGCATTTATGCCCATCCCCAGTTTCTCTCGAGAAGGTGGTGGTGAGCTGCCATCTTGAATTGCTGCAGTTCATGTGCTGTAGGTAGACCCACATTGCTCTTAGGGAAGGAATTCTATTCAGTACCATATATGCTAATATCTTACAAACAATTTCATGATCACCAACTTGAGTTGGGATGTTTTCAGGGTTCATATTAATATTGCATTCTCTGTTACAATGGAAACCAATTGATCTAAAATGGAAACTTAGATGTATTTCTAAATTCATGGCTGAATATGAATGTTGCTGTTAAAAACAACATTTATTGACTATACCTAACTGCTTTTTTGAAAGGATGTTGAGCTGTCTTCTTTACTGTCACTGTCATTTTCTTTTTCACTATCCATACATGGGATGTGGTCATTGCTGGCAAGGCCACTATTTGTTGCCTATCCCTAGTCTCCCTTGAACTAAATATTGGCAACAGCTTTTCCAGAATGCTGCTGGTCAGGAAATGCCAGGATTCCAAAATACATTCTTACTTTGTATGTTTAAATCTACTTCAAAAATTCACAATTCTCTCGATTCGTGATGGATTCGTGGTAAGTGAATTTTCACAAAATCAAAAGCTTACAGTGTCTGAAGCCATTATTTTTCCTTGAATAATTTACATTCAGGAAAGGTGAGGTTTAAAGTGTCTAATCCCTGCTAATAGGTGTGGGGCTCACTGTAACTAGCTGACTTGTGCATATTCATTAGGGGCATCAAGTCAAATGCATGGTGCTGCTTATGTTAAATGATAGTTGCATGTTGTCAGTGCAACCCATATTCATGAAATGCATGCATCAGCTGGGAGTTCAAGATCATGAGGAGTCAGTACTACTTAAAGACAGCCCAAATCTCGTAACAGGAGGTGCATTGAGGCTGCAAGAGAAAAACAGGTTTTTTTTATGAAAGAGTGAATCTCGCTCTCGAATACTTTAAGGAATGTCTGAAGATGCATGAAAGTAAGCACTAATGTTTTCTGACAGTGCACTGAACTGGAGGATGTGGAGAGAATGACTGACTTTTTGTATTCAGAGCAGACATGAAACCCTCCAGACAAATGCTCAGGAAGCAGGGGGAAGAAATAAGAGTGGAGATGATTGCAGGGAGGGTCGCTCTAAGATAATAGATGAAGTGGAGGAAGAAATGTAAAAGTATGGTATGAGTTATAAAAGTGAGTTTGTTCATTTTTAACTGATAACTTAACTGCCTTATCCACTACTTAAATCATTACACCCACATCAATCTCTATCAATCGGAAGCCACTCCTTTGATTCATGTGCTCTGTCTCATCATCACATACTTAGCCATGCTGCAAGCTATAAATCCACAACTTTCAGCTCACCCACTCTGACAATTGCTCAATATTGACACCCATAAGCAATACTGTCCATGTCCTGCTTTTCGGTCACATTTGTAGCGAGAGCAATTGTCAAATTTAGTTGACTCTTGTGAAGTGAAGATTAACCTTGTTGAAAGTGAGGAAAATAGTTGTCTAACATGGCATCCTGCAGTGTTCTGGTCCTTCTTTTCCTCCCATTTCCAGCAACCTGTCTTGCTCTGCATAACTTCTATTTATTGCCTCAGTCATGCACAATTTCCAAAGGAAGCCCTGAAAGGCCACACATAGCTAGTAGAAATCTATTTAGGCACAAGCTTTTAAATGAATAGAAAAGTATTTCAGCACAAGCCACACCTTATACAGTGGACATTCAAAATGTAGCCCATTGTAGGAAAGCTCCAAAAGTACATATAATTACATCAGCAGCAAAAAATAGCTTGCATGTAGTTTATGACCCCTTTGAGATCCTTCATTCTAGTCAAAGCTGTACTCAGCTATGTGAAGTTAAAACTGCATTGTGTGTTTTGAAATTGGCAGTGATGGCATCAAACTAGCATTGTGTGTTGGTTTGTGTCATGATCTGCCTGCTTTGCATGCTGCTGTTGGTTAGCTGAGCATCAAGGTGCCTTCTGATACATCTCTTATCATGTATATCGCAGATTCTATTTTAATTCATTCAGTGGTTATGTAGCACAAGATATTGGGCAGTGTGTGGTCCAAGTTATTCCTCACCATTCATTATGCTGATGTGGTATGGTCTCATGGGCATGATTCATACCAATATGATATCAAACACATGAATCACTATAGTAATGATATACACATAACTCCTATTGAGGGGATACTATACACGTAAATCAGAACAAATTAATATTGTGGATGCAAATCACACTGTAGTGTTAATATATCTTATGATGAAAACTGTAACAATATTGTAACTTCACAGTATTGTCCCAACTGACTCATACAGTAGCCATGTTTACCACAATTAATACTGCCACAAAACTAAACACTAAAGTGAAATCAAATTTTATAATTTAATTACTTTAATTGAAACACAATAACACATAAATAACATATAATTAAAGTACTTAAATATAAATAATATAATGTCAGAAGGAGAAAAATGAAAAAAAATTCAAGTTTTCAGTCCTCCTTCATGCATCACACAAACTACTTGCTAACAACACGTTGCTTTATTGGAAAATGTTCTGTAGACTCTCTTGTTATTATAAAGATAAGATAGCACTTGTGTTTTTCGGTTACATTTATTAAAGTTTCATTTTGAAATATCCCCCAATAAAGAATAAGGTACCTGTGCCAGTACAAGTGAATGGAAAACTCCATTTTGCTGCATCAATTCTGCATGTGTCCCCTGTTCCACTAAAACACCATTCTGAAAGCTTGCTATCATGTCTGCAGTCCTGATTGTCGACAGACGATGAGCAATCAAGATCGTAGTACGACCTTTACTTGCCTGTGGAAATTAAAGAAGGACCTCTGGTGACAAGTTATTAGTTTTTCAAGTGTTATTAGTTACTTATGTAAGAATTTATGGTTTGATATTAAAAATAACTTGGACAAGAAAAAACAGGCACTCAAATCATTCTGTTCAGGCGATTTCTCCAGGGGTCGATATTTGAATCTCGATTGGCTGCTCGGCTGGTTTGCAATGCAGAGTGATGCCAACACCATGGGTTCAATTCCTGCACCAGCTTAAGTTACTATGAAGGACTCTCCTTCTCAGCCTCTCCCCTCGCATGAGTATGGTGACCATCAAGTTAAACCACCATCAGTCATCTCTCTCTAATGAGAGAGCAGCCCTATGGTTTGGAAAGACTATGGTGATTTTTACACCTCAAAGTAGATTTAGCCAACTTCCCATATCTAGAAATGCACGAGGCAGACTAAATTACAGGCATGCAGGCCATTATCTGTGGTTTGCTTTTTCCTGAAATAGGTCACTAATTTGAAGTCAGAGGCTACAGCTTGAGGAGCGCCACTCCACACCAAAAGCATCACCATGCCTGACCCAGAGACTCTTCTGCTCTTACTGCCAGCTATATCTGTGTTGTAAGAATTTGTAAGTTGACAGGCAACCTATTTGGTGACTTATGAAAGCACTTTTCAAGGCAATCACGTCTTGCAGGGCAATTCAAACCTAAAGCCTCTATCTCGGAGACATCAATACCATCCTGGGTGCCAGAAGACCTCCAGAGTAAATAGGGCAAAATAAGATACTTCTGATTCTATACCAACCATATCTAGAGAGCACATAAAAAGCATAGGAAATAAATTCTGACAAGAGTTCTAAGATTGCCATTCCCAGACAATTCCATTGCAGGGAGTTAAAGGGAGGGAAATGTTGTAAACAACATATGGAAGTTACACTGTGCAAAGACAGGACAATCTCGAATGATCAATTGATATTTCCCAGTTTTTATTTTGATATTTTGCCTTGTGTTTTCACAATGTTTACAAAGTAATTGTTCAGTTATTTCCAGCACAGCATTAAAGATTCCCTACAACTACTTATTGCAGAGTGGATATCAATCACTGCATAATCTGCAGATGCATAATCACAATTTTCTTGTTTCTTTTGCCTAACAAAAATGTCTGGGAACTAAAATCAAATGTACCTTATCCAATGCTGCTTGAACCACAGCTTCACTCTCTGTGTCCAGGGCTGAAGTAGCTTCATCTAACAAAAGGATCTTGGGATTACGCACCAGAGCCCGGGCAATTGCAATTCTTTGTTTCTGCCCTCCACTCAGTTGTGTACCTCTCTGCCCAACAAGAGTGTCGAATTTCTGCAATAAAATACAAAATATTAATCATAGACGGTCTTCACTGTAGAGAAATTGAATCAGGAATCTTTGTTTCATTTGGTTAGCTCTTGAAAGACAGCAGTGTCATTGAGGAACAACTATTGAAAAATAACAATGCATTGTGGTAACTGCTTGCACAAGTGATCAATCCGCAAAGGAATTTCACCTAAATTCTTCAATTCAGGCACATTGTCATAGTGAGATAGTAAGAACTGCCAATGCTGGAGTCAGAGATAACATAGTACGGAACTGGAGGAACACAGCAGGCCAGGCAGCATCAGAGGAGCAGGAAAGCTGATGTTTTGGGTCAGGACCCTTCTTCAGTAATGGGGCTGAAGAAGGGTCCCGAGCCGAAACGTCAGCTTTCCTGCTTCTCTGATGCTGTCTGGCCTGTTGTATTCTTCCAGCTCCGCACTGAGTTACATTGCTATAGCAGTTATGCCAAACAGACACCACACATTTCCCCTAAGGGAGGACTAACAATCCCTTAACTATCTGTGTATCCTTGTGGTGCAGTGTGTGATGCTGATGCAGCAAAGGCCAAAAAGGAAGGGGAAAAGGTGCAGCTCAAAAAGATCTTATTCTTTCTTTTTCCTCTTTGCCTTTTTCTGTCTCTGTCTGAAAAACCTCATTGTTCCTTTCTGTGAAATAACATCGACTCTGTTTAAGTTCTGACATTGTTTATATCTCCCACCTCCATGTTTTCCCAAGCAAATTTTCCTGATGCAAAGTAGTGATGAGGGCAGTTCATTATTCCACCTGCAGAGTTTTAAATTAGTTAATGAATTCAGTTTGAAAATACATGATCATGGCTTCATAGCAGTGGCAGATCAGGTCCTCCCTCAGATCAGCAGTCTGTATGGCTCAGTTCAATAAAATTTCAGGCATGAGACAATTTCTAAACAATGGATCAGCAGTGGCCCCAGCATGGGTATTGTTGTGGTGCCCTATAGGTGGAAGGGCAAGAATTACAACAGAGAGCAGAAAAAAAAATCCAGATCTTAATCCAGATCTAGTAGGTATGACAGGAGATGTATCAATGCAATGAAGCATGGGATATTTTTGGAACTTCAGTTACCTTATAGTGGCTTTTGTTCGTGGGAATTCTGATGGATGACAGATATTACCCAGTTTGGGCTTTATTTCTGACATCAGGATATACAAGTTATATGTCATAGAGTCATAAAGTAATACAGCATAGGAACAGGCCCTTCAGCCTAAATTGGTCCATGCTGACCGTGGTGTCCACTCACACAGTTCCAATTGCCCGCATTTGTTCCATATCCCTCTAAATCCTTCCCAATCATGTAACTATCTAAATGTTTTTTAAATGTTGCTATTGTAGCTGTCTCAACCACTTTCTCTGGCAGCCCATTCCATATACGCACCACTCTCTGTGTTGAGAAGTTGCCCCTCAGGTCCTCCTTAAATCTTTCTCCTCTCACCTTAAACCTATGCCCTCTAATTTTCAATTCCCTATCCCTGGGAAAGAAGACTATATGCATTCATCAGATTTCACTGATGTTTTCCTGCCATATTGCATCCTACACAAACAATAAATTGTTCAAAATCCCAGCATCCATCTTCCACCTTACATAAAGTTTTCTTGCCTAGCACTCCTTACACTGCTAACAACCGTTGCTCCTCGTTCACGGGCATTTTGAATGCAATACCCTCTACATTGTTGTTACAAATCCCTCCATGGTGCCACTTCTCAGTTGGCATCTTCTGGGCCCAGAGGTAGGAAAGGAATTTAATTAGGCAGGAGGTGGCACCAGAACCCTGCTTGTAAAAATCTTAAATTTATTAAGTTTGTCAGTGGAAGAGTTTCACACTGGCTCAAGTCCTGTTGACAGTCCCAGTTCTTGTTTCTTGCCTTTGTGGGAAAATTCAGTCCCACAAATATTGCAACATATGCAGTGCATTGAATTAACGCTTGAATACTAAACCTGCAGGTTCCACTGATTTCAAATATGTACTAAATCTAGTCCAGCAAATAGGCTTTTCTTATTAGCACCGACTTGGGCCAGAAAAGATCATAGAATCCCTACAGTGTGGAAACATGCCCTGCAGCCCAAAAAGTCCACACCGACCCTCAGAGCACCCCACCCAGACCCATCCCCCTAATCTACACATCCCTGAACACTACGCGCAATTTAGCATGGCCAATCCACCTAGCCTGCACATCTTTGGACTGTGGGAGGAAACCGGAGTACCTGGAAGAAACCCACGCAGACACAAGGAGAATATGCAAACTCAACACAGACAGTCACCTGAGGGTGGAATCAAACCCAGGTCCCTGGCACTGTGAGGCATCAGTGCTAACCACTGAGCCACTGTGCCACCAGATTGATTTACTTTCAAATATTGCAATGGATATTTTGACCATGTTATCTGGTTAAAATAAACTCATATTGATTAACTTGCTTTTCTCTTTACAGTTCCAAATAAGGATCCTATCACTGGTTGAGATATAAAGGAGACACTGGCTTTATGGAAAAGTAATTGGCAAATAGTTGCATTGTCACTGTCATTGCCATTTTGCCAGATGCAATGAAACAGCAATTAGTTTTGTTGTGCCTTGTTCAATTACATCATAAGCACAGAATAATCAAAACTTTATCAGTTATGCTTGGATGAGGAGATCATCCTTTTGAAGATTGAAAACTTCACGTACATCAGGAAGTTTCATGATGAAATCATAAGCGTTTGCTTCTTTTGTAGCCATCTCAATTTCTGCATCTGTAACATCTTCACGTCCAAATCGTATGTTTTCAGCAATGGTTGTAGCAAAAAGTACAGGCTCTTGACTGACCACGCCAATGAACTTTCGAAAATGCCTGATATTTAGTGACCGTATATCATGGCCATCAACTGTAATCTGGCAATAGAAAAGACATTTTCTACATTGTAATATAAAACAGATTACACATTCCTGCAACATAATTGCTTATCTAAGTTTAGGAATATTTATCACATCGGCTAAAGTAACAATGTATGCCGTTTGATTAGAAAACAACCTGACAATGGGAATCAAGATGCGGAAGATTTGCTGTTATTTAAGTATCAATACAGATCTAAAGTTAATCAGCACAAAGGTAACTGCAACGCTATTCATTAGTTAGGCCTGTTCCTGTACTGAATGTTCTTTGTTCTATTATTCCTTTGGGACACTGAACTATATCATTTTTGGAACAAATCCAAGGATGTTAGATGTTGACCTTTGATATTTATAGGTAGCACAAACTTCAAAGGCAAAGAGGTTGACGAAGGTAACACCTTGATCATTTTCACACCGTGGCAGTGGAGTATGTCTCGGTTGTATTATGACCAAGGAGAAGCCAGGTGCTTTCTCATCCTCCCGGGTCAGAGTGAGGGGGAGCTGCATCTCGGTAACAAGTTGGCAGTGCAATTTTTATTTCCGATGCAGTACCATTCTCATGAGGGCTGATTGCTAGGCTCTATCCATAAAAGTCAAATCAGACCAGTTGGCCCTGCCTTTCACAAAACAGTTCAATGTCCCTACGGAAAAATCAGCCAAGAGCAACCAAAGTGGAATATCACGGTTTTTTAAAATGTTTTTCGAATACGTTTGTGTGCTGATCGCAATAATTTTGATCATGGGTCAAACATGGGTCAGAATGGTGTCAAGAGATGATTAATTGGGCGTAATGAGGGTATTCACTTTCATGTTGGTGTGGAAGCTAACAAGCTGCAATCAAAACTTTACTGGGACCTATGGAATGGGGTGGTTGAAAGATCATAGAATCCCTATAGTGTGGAAACAGGCCCTTCAGCCCAACAAGTCCATACCAACCCTCTGAACAGCATCCCATCCATACCAATCCCCCACCCCTTTATCCTGTAACCCACCTTATCTACACATCCCTGAACACTATGGGCAATTTAGCATGGCCAATCCACCTAACCCGCACATCTTTGGGCTGTGGGAGGAAACCAGAGCAACCAGTAGAAACAGGGAGAACATGCAAATTCCACACAGTCACCCGAGTCAGGGATTAAACCCAGGTCCCTGGCACTGTGAGGTAGCAGTGCTAACCACTGAGCCACTGTGCTGCCCAAGCAGGGGCAGGGTGGTGGGGTGGTGGTGTGGGGGGGTACATGATAACACCTCTACCAGTTTGTTTTTATTTGTTTTATTTAGTCATGGCATGTGGGTATCACTGGTTGGGCATTACCCTTGAGGGGGTGGTGCTGAACTATCTCTTGAACCACTGCAACTCATACCCTGTAGGTAAACCTATAATGCATTAGGGAGGAAATTCCTGGAAATTAATACCCAGCAATACTGAAGGAATGGCAGTATATTTCCAAGCCAGAATGGTGAGTGGCTTGGAGGGGAACTTGCACGTAGTGGTGTTCCCATGTATCTGCTGCCCTCGTCCTTCTAAATGGAGATGGCCATAGGTTTAAAAGGTGCTGTCCTTGGAGATTTGGTGCATTTCTGAAGTGCATTTTGTAGGTGATATACACGGCTGCTCCTGAGCATCAGTGGTAGAGGAGCTGGAAGTTGGTGGATGTGATGCCAATCAAGTCCTGGATGGTATCAAGCTTCTTAAGTGTTGTTCGAGCTGCAATCATCCAGGCAAGTGAATGTGAAATGTGACCAATCAAAACTAGCAGTACCAAGAGCCATCAATCCTATAACTTTTACACAGTGCACGCAAGGCTCAAGCAACTATTTAGGACAATTGATTACTTTGTTAATCCATTTTAGGTTATTTTTGAGTTAAATGGTTCACAATGCATAACCATTTGGAGAACAGAGATTATCCAGTTTCTCACCGATCCTTCCTGGAGATCGTAGTATCTCTGCAGCAACTGAATGGTTGTACTTTTTCCACAGCCGCTGCTTCCCACCAGAGCTACCGTCTGTCCGCTCTTAATCTTCAAATTCAGGCCTCTTAAAACCTATAGAAATATTCAAAGCAATCAATAAAAGTTTAACAATGCTTTATTCTGAAAATATTAGTAATGCGTCGGAACTTTCAATTTCAATGCATTGCTGATGGGCTAAAATGTTTTAACATAACATGACGTTCAATTGAAAGCCACTGAAAAATAAAATATTCTAAACTGCCCAGGGGTCCAGATGTTATAGCAACAGCTCATGTTGAAATTTTCATTGAGCATTCAAGAGGGTGGATGTTGAATGGAAGTTTCAGGCTGTCTGTGGCATTTCCAGGATTGGACCTTATCAAAGAATTAATGAAGCAGCACAACTGCCATCTCGAGATTGATTTCTTGGTGTAATAGTTGGTGTAAATGTTTTCAGTCGGCTAAATTCTATAAGGTGTTTGTGTGATATGTTAAGGGATTTAGCCTGTATTTTCACCTTCAAGATGGGAAGCTCAAATTAGGAAATTTGTGAACTCTGCAGACCTATTACAGGTTTCTTATCCTGCACCAGTGAAAAGTGGCTAGTGACAATCCACCTTCAGGGGATTGATAACATTTTTCATAAAATTACAAATGTAGAAATCTAAGCGAAAGTTAAAAAAATGTGCTGGAGATGTACATGCAGTCAGTCAGCGCATCTAAAGAGGGTCATGTAAGAGTTCAATGTTTTGGATCACCAGCTTCTTCTCTTTACAGGCAGTGACCTATATTTTGTTTTGAACAATTTTATGTTTTTGTTTTTGATGACTGTATATGGATACAGTAAGATTTTTAAAAGAGAGAAAATGCAAAATTAATTCTAGTAATCCAGTCAATTAAAACACTTCGATAAAGGAATTACGTGTCGGGCATGTTCCAGCTTCAATCACTGGTCTTTGCAACTGTTGAAATGGTAATGGTTATGTTGCAACTTGTTCAAAGGAAGTGTCCAAACTCCCCAAGCTGTTGCCTGGCCAATGACTGTAGCACGGTGGCTCAGTGGTTAGCACTACTGCCTCACAGGGCCAGGGACCTGGGTTTGAATCCAGCCTTGGGTGACAGTGTGGAGTTTGCACATTCTCCCTATTTCTGTGTGGGTTTCCTCTCATAGTCCAAAGAGGTGCAGATAAAATGAATTGCCCATGGTGTGCAGGTTAAGTGGATTAACCATGGGAAATGGGGGGATGGGGTGGGGTCTTGGTGGGATGCTCTGCAGAGGTTTGATGCAGACTCGATGGACTGAATAATCTCTTTCTGCACTGTAGGGATTCTATGGTTTTTTTTGAGAATAGCACTTGTGTGAACTGCATCACTCTCATGCCTAAATAGTCATTCTAATGGCTAAATTTTGGAAACTAAGAAATCAAGTTAGCTGCATACAAACAGCTAAGTCTGAAAAAGCATTTCAGGCACAGAGCAAACTTTTATAACATAAGTAACAAAGTATGAACAACTGAATACTTCCTTGCTTAATTCTTAACTTCAAATAGTAATTTTAGCAATCTTCTGGGTCCTGCTGTGTTATTTTTGACAGACCAGTCTACCAATATACATAAAAACTTATGCTGCTTAAAATCATAGAATTATAAAACCCTACAGTGTGGAAACAGGCCATTTGATATATTGAATCTGTACCAACCCTCTGAAGAGCATCCTACACAAACTCACCCATCCCCCTACCTATCCGTGTAACCTTGCATTTTCCATGGGTAATCCACCTAACCTACACAGTGCTGCACACTATGGGCAATTTAACATGGCCCATGGTTCAGTGAATCCCTTTAGGGAAAGAAATCTGTCATCTTTACCTGGTCTGGCTTACATGTGATCCCTGTCGCTGACTCTTAACTGCCCACTGGGAAATTAGGAATGGGTGATAAATGCTGGCCTAGCCAGAGGTGCTCACATCCTGTGTGTGAAAAAAATCCACCTAACCTGCATATATTTGTTTAATGTAAGTATTCTCTCTTTCTATTAATGAAGCCAAGTGTTTTGCAAGGACTGGCTATTGCAACGATAGCACAATGGGGCAACACAATAATGTAGGCTTCAAAAGTTACCTCAGCCAGCACAGGGATCAAACCTGTGCTTTTGGCATGATAATGCAGCACACTCTAACCAACAGAGCTCACTGGTCCTTGCATAATTTATTTTAAATATTAGAAATGCATTAAAATCAGAAATACTCAACACATTTTCTTTTCATCTGAGGTTCGTTGTAAGTATGAAAAAAAATTCTGATACCTTTACATCTGGTCTTGATGGATAATTAAAATGCACATTCTTAAATTCCACTATTCCTTTAATTTGATCAGGCCTATATCCTTCTTCTGAGAAACCATCTATGGCAGATTTCTTAAAAGGGAAACCAAAACAAAGATGATCATATAATGTCTGAAGGCAGAGAATAAGTCTTAAAAATTATCAGTAATTTGAGGCTAAAAAAATTTCTATTGGAAAGGAATCGCAACCACTTAAAGCACAGACTCTGAAATGAGTCTGTGGATTATTTGCAGCAAAACACACTAAACAGTCAGAAATTTTAGAGACTTTCACTATAGCTTTTTTAAAAACATTAATTACACATTTTTGCAACGTTATTTCCACAACCTCAGCATTCTATCCTATTCAGTCTTTCCTTCCTTGTATAAGCTTTTGGGCTTTTAAATTGAAGCTTATTTTCCTCTTGTCACTGCTTCAGTTCATATTTATTTTCAACCTCTCGTCGGTGGTGTCCTTTGTTGTGAACCTTGACTTTTTATTTCAAGGACTTGGCCCTTTTTCACACAATTAATGGAAAAGAGCTACTTTCATTTACAGTTTTCTCATCCAGGCAATTCTGCTACATTTTTCTTTGGCCTCAAACTGGCACTGACAAACAAGCAGTATAATCACTTCTCCACTTTATTTTCTGTTTGAAGTGCAACTCACAACTTTGCCCTATTTTGTTCATTGAGAATAGTAACTTAATGCTCACATTTTGGACCTGACCCTGTGATTTTAATGCTTCAAAATATTTTAATAACAATCTATGCTTTATTCATTTCTAGGTTAACAAATGTCCTTGTTTTGATTTAGCTCAAGCATATCCAAGCAATATAAAGTAACCTTTATTCCTATCCTTTTCAGGCTGTGTTTTAGTTAACCATTAATTACCTATTGGCATATGATCATTACTGCTGTGAAAAATTAAGTTTTGAAAAATGAAAATCGTAGATTAGCTTTATTCTGTAAAGGATTCTTAATGTGTTAACTTTTCTTTGAATTATTTCTACTTTGCAATGTTGATGGTGTCATCATGGTTAGTTTGCTGGACAAGTGATGTAAAAGTCTAGACAATAATGCACAGACTATGGTTGAAAATTTAGTTTGTCCTTTCCTTGGATAAAGCATGGTAGATGTCATATGCATCTTTCACAACAGAAGGAGTCTTCACACTATATAGTAAAGACTATTGTACAGGCACCTCGGGACCCCATCTGAGAAAGATCTCAGCCATACATTCTGTGCTCAGTGTTCTTAGCAGCTAGGCAGTCAACCCATCAATCCTTATAAAGCGTGCTGAAAGGACCAATTTCGGGTGGTCCACAAGATTAATTCTTTGGACACTTACTCCAGTTGTACCTTTTCCCAGCTGCTATTGGTTCTGGAGAAGTGTCACCGGACTTGAAATGTTAACTGCTTTGTCTCCGCAGATGTTGCCAGACCTGCTGAGTTTCTCCAGCAATTCCTCTTTCTATTATAGTTATACTTCATGGCTTAAGGACAGAGTTGAATGCCGAACAATTCCACCCCCCCAACCCCATCCCCATTCTGGATATTTGCAATTATCCCTTTGCCTTTTCTTTGAACTACCATTATTAATTCTGGATTTTCTACCATTTTCCATTTTCAAAATCTAGTCATTTTGAGATGTGGAGCAGGCATCTTCAATTGTAGGCTTCCTGCCCAACCACCCAAAACTTTGTTGGAGAACGTATTCTGCAGATCACAATAGCCCTCAAGCTGGTTTACTCTGAGGGGCATTCATTGGCTGGAGATGGGACTAGTGCCCCACATTTTGGAAGAAGGACAATCTCAGAGTGCTGATGGCGAATCTGGTTGCTACAGTCCCAGCACTTTCAGTGGCAGCATAGTCTCTGACTTGTGGACTAGCTAAGTGCAAAGGTCTTTATACGAAGGAAGATCAAACATTGGGCAGGGAAATGGGGCAAGGGATTGGGGAGAAGAGGGAGGGGTCATGAAGCCGAGGCCACAGACAAGGTGAGGGTTCTAATCTCTGAGCGGTGGGGGGCACCTTACCCTGAATTCCACATATCTGCCTTCAAACTGAGGCTGACCAGAAAGTGACAATGAACTGGCTACTTTTGAGGGTAGAGAGAGCAGCAGGAAGGCTACCCAGTTAATCCGAACAGGCCTCCCTCCTCCAGGCCCACCTACAAACGCACCTGCAAAATTCTGCCCATGGCTTGAAGTAAATCACCATCTGATCAAGTACCTTTCTAATCCTCTCTGAAATGTCTCTGTACTCTCTAAAGTAATTCCATTGTTTCCCAGACTAGTCAAAACCACAAATTCACCATACTCAATCTATGGTTAAATCGGAACTTTGGTAATGGTGAATGGCAATCCTTTGAAGATTTGGGCAGTATTATTTGCACTTAGTTTGTGTACATGTCGGTGGGACTATTTGCAGGTCTGGTATCTGAATGACAGAAGGAAGCTTTTCTGTAGTTCCTGCCCAGATTCATGAAAGTAGCATTTTGCCTCCTGGTTCTTTGAATAATCAGAGAGGGTGAGTGGCATGAGATACTGGTTTTGTCAAAGGAAGGATTTTTAATTCCAGGGACTATGACAGGGGTTGAACGCAACATTCGAACCTGGATTTTCAAGGGTTCAGCAACTATAGGAATGCAGGGGAGGCTGAGGAAGTCTGCACCTGGCTCTCTCACTGTTAGTTGGTGTGATCTAGGGGTTATGTGACCTGAGGAGTTACAGTGAAGTAAGCTTTCTCAAGGATGGGGAGAAGAGGACCAGCAAGCAAGCTATGTGTGACAGTGACCAAGGAAATTTGGCATGAGGAGTGTAGTCCCTTCCATTGAGACAAAATGCACCAAGAGGATTCTAGGCTGCAAGAGGTCATCACAGTGGAATATTATAACATGTACAGGTGTCAAGCCGCATACTGTGACTTTCCCAGCATTCATCTGCACAGTAACCTTCATGCAAGATTCCTTACATCTTCATTTTTTCCTAATTCAACGGGCACCTCATATCCCCATCTGATCAATCAGTACTTAGGATATCTCTCAGTCCACTGCCCCCTTGTACCTATGCCTCACAATCACCTTCTTGAAATAGCATTCCTTTCTCTCCACACAAGCAATAGTGAACACTCATACTTGACAACAAGGTGCAGGGCTGGATGAACACAGCAGGCCAAGCAGCATCATAGGAGCAGAGAGGCTGACGTTTCGGGCCTAGACCCTTCATCAGAAAAGGGGGAGGGGAAGGGGGTTTTGAAATAAATAAGGAGAGAGTGGGAGGCGGATAGAAGAGGGATAGAGGAGAGGATAGGTGGAGAGGGAACAAACAGGTCGAAGAGGCGGGGATGGAGCCAGGAAAGGTGAGTGTAGGTAGGGAGTTAGGAAGGGGATAGGTCAGTCCAGGGAGGACGGACAGGTCAAGGGGGCGGGATGAGGTTGGTCGGTAGGAGATGGAGGTGCGGCTTGAGGTGGGAGGAGGGGATAGGTGGGAGGAAGAACAGGTTAGGGAGGCAGGGACGAGCTGGACTGGTTTTGGGATGCGGTGGGGGGAGGGGAGATTTTGAAACTTGTGAAATCCACATTGATACCATTCGGCTGCAGGGTTCCCAAGCGGAATATGAGTTGCTATTCCTGCAACCTTCGGGTGGCATCGTTGTGGCACTGCAGGAGGCCCAGGATGGACATGTCGTCTGAGGAATGGGAGGGGGAGTTGAAATGGTTCGCGACTGGGAGGTGCAGTTGTTTGTTGCGAACCTTTTTGTCTGTTTTGGCAAGGAGGGTACACAACTTGGGAAAAAGCAGAGACCTAGAGTCTGTGATTGGAGAGAAGGAGGATAGTTTGTTGATCCTCCAGTTACAGATGCCTTATCTACCATTAACAATGCAATCCCACCTTGCAGACTGGAGAACTTAAGGCTTAAAATATATCGTAATGGGCTTCCTAATCATCTTAATTCATTATCTGAGGGATCAAGGGATTGTCCACTGCTCTTTAATCACAGTAACCTGGAGGCCACCAGTGTGATGTTGGGATCCTGATGACAGTATCTAGGGATTTAATTCCCTGCACTCACCCAATCCTAGCTCTCCTTTACTCGGAAAACTCACCCCATTATGTTCATTTTTTTCTATTCAAATTAAAGTCTAATTGAAGGAAGATAGGCAAAGCTAAGCGTAGAATTCTAATGACTTTAGGAAGATTGAAATAGTCATCTTTGACTTAAAACTAAAAGTCCTAAGATTCATCCTGGTATCTGTATATATCAGATCTATACAATAATCAGACCGTTTCAGTGAAAATTCTATCAGTGCACTATTTTCTTTTTCACTCTAGTCATGTACATCCAGTCATTGTGTACAAAATACATTTTCATGGATTTGTATGCTCTGGCTTAATAAAAATCATCTGCTATTCCTTAATTGTTTCTTAGTTTACACGGTTCCATTTTGAATCAATCTCTGGCTGCATAATGTGATGGCATCAGCAAAGTTTTGATACTCATATCCATACCCTAAATGAGATTGACACTTTTTTTTCTAAAGCAAGATTGAATACCATTAGCAAGCATACTTGAGCCAACAAAAATCTCTCATGGAATGGTTTAAATGTTGCAATTTTCATTATAAAACTGCATTGCTTCAAAATATATAAATATTTGCTTTATTTTTGCAATAAATTTTTTTTCTACTTGTTCTATGAAGGTAATGTTTAACTTTTTAAACTTTGTTTCTTTTACTTCTTTGTACTTAAGTTTTTTGTACCTAGGTACCTTTGTACCTAAGATGGTGCATGTGTGGCAACATTATGCACTTTTCACAGTACTCCTTTACTTCTGTACTTGAGTACACGTGATAATAAAATCTAATTGTAATTAATCTAAAACTTCTCCAATTTTTTACATTGATTTAAACGCTACCATTTTAACATACAGAAAAGCGGAAATACAATTTCCCAATTCCTTCTTTACCTCATCTAGTATTTTATAGATTTCATATGCCGCTCCTCTAGCATTAGAGAATGCTTCAATATAGGGTGCTGTTTGACCAATCGAGAATGTTCCAAAGGTAACACAGAAAAAAATCTAAAATATAATTGAAAGAAAAAGGACTCATAAAACATCTCAAGTATGGCATTAAAGTATCCGTTTCTGAAAACTGGTGTGAAAGAGAGAATATTATGATTGATTCCTTTGAAGGAGGTGACAAACTGGTAGTATTGAATCAGCAACATATGACATACTGTACCCAATCTCCTTTATTTCAATATATGAATGCATAATGGATGGAAAATCTTCAACTTCCACCAAATTGACAATTCTCTTCAAAATATGTATTTTAAAAATAATGCAGCAAAACATTTGTAGGACAACAGAAGGTTGCCATTTTACTTTCGTCAATCTGCATGCATTTCCATACAGCACATGATACAAAGAAAGACTAACAGAAGAATGGAAGCACTACTGTTGAGATTAGGTAAATATTCAAATGTGTAAGAATGAATAGACGTACAGACAAGTTAGGTTTTGATTATAAATCCTCTTATAGTTGGACAGCTATATCATTAGTATATAGGCTGGTTTATGGGATGTTAACTAATACTACTGTACTTACAGTGAGAACTGTTCCAATGGAATACTCTGAGTTCTCAAGTACCAAAGTAGTTCCATACCAAAATCCAATTCCATAAGATCCAAATATTATAAAGTAGGCAAATCCAACAGACAGATTGGCAGTAATAGCCTTCTTTATACCAATTTTCTTTGCTTCACCTAAATTGCTATGGTACCTTAAGAGGTTATGAAGAGAGGAGAAAAATAAGCCTCACAATTGAACATGAAAGACTGGTTGATTATTGGCAATAGTCACCATACAGACCTTTCAATCTCTTTCTGTTGACCTCCAAACGCCATCACCGTTCGGATTGCCCCCAACACCTCTTCTGCAACGGCTCCAGCTTTTGCATAAGCTGTCATCTCTAAGCTGGTGAACGACACTGTGAGCTGAACACAGGAAACACTGAAGCTGATGTAATGAACATACTTAGTCTTAAAATATTTGAATTTGGTGTAAATTATAGAGCAAGCTAATGACAACACTGCATTATTCACTGTGAAATTAAAACAGGCTATAATATTATAAATTAGTGCAAAAGCTTGCATATAAAAATATCGAGAGAGCCCTTTGCAAAACAAGGGGGTGAATTTTCCAGTTCATGTTTTATTGAGTGAGATTCATAGTACCCAGTCTACCAGAACTTGCAATAACTTATTGAACACGATCTTCCATGCTTCACCTCATTAGTTATGTGGCTGGGTTCTTTGGTGTCTTGGAGAATCTCACAGCTGGAGAGGCAGATGTATTCACCATTGTTGAGACCTCATGTCACTGACACCATATTTAAAGCTTAGCTGCACATCACTTCAGGTAAGGAGCAAGTTACTGCAAATGCTGGAATCTGTACTGAGATCTCTAGCCTTTTTTGCTTTCAATCAATGAAGCAAATGTTTTCATTACTTGAGGTGCTGTAAGCCAGGATCTGCCTGTCGTCCTGTGGTGCTCTGCCATTATTATAGGACACAAGGCCCAGAGAGGAAAGCTCTCATCCTGATTCCTGGACAGGGGCCTAGAGATGCTAGATGGGATATAGGAGAGGGGGGCTGTCATTTATCCTGCTGCGGAAGGCCACACCACTAGACACAAACAGCCTGGACCCTGAAAGCATCCTAGGTCATTCCTGGTACCTGAGTTAGCAGAAATGACCATCAGTACAGAAAGAAAGTCAATGTTCTTCTGCACCCCACAGGACTAAGGCCAGAATCCTTAATGTTGCCTTATCATTCACTGTCACCAAAACTCACAGACCACAAGTCTCGCTACTGCGTGATGTGGAGATGCTGGTGTTGGACTGGAGTGGACAAGATTAAAAATCACACGACACCAGGTTCTAGTCCAACAGCTTTATTTGAAAACACAAGCTTCCTCCCTAACTGACTAAAGATTCAACAAGAGATGGCTAGTTTTAGGGTTGTTACCTTTCTGCTTATAAATTCTGTGTCTCATACCCTCTCTCTCACACTACACCTGAGGAAGGACCTGAGCTCTGAAAGCTTGTGTTTTCCAATAAACTTGTTGAACTCACTATTGCATGTAGCTTGTCCATTCAATGGCTCTCTTACACATCAACCTCCCAAACTACCTACCCTTTCTACCTTCAGTGCTTCCTTCTTACGCACTGCTGATGCACGACCACCTCTCCTGCTTCTACATTACCACTCTTCCATCCACTTGCATCATATTCAGTCCCTCTCTTTATCTCACTGGGGGAACTGACCAGACTGATGTCTCCTCTGCACCCTGACTGATGCTCTAATCCCTGAACAGGTTGCCTTGACCTGCAGCATTGGGCATTTTTTGGTCTGCAATCAGATGAGCCCCATGACTGATTGTGATCATATTCCGTGACTGACTGTCCTTCTTCTTGACTCCACTAAGAACTGTTCCCCTTTGATTCTCACAGATGTTCATTTATTTGAAGTGCATTTGCCACTTGATCTGCTGGCACATGCTGCAAATGTGAGATATGATGTGACACGGTGCTGCACAGAGACATTTCCATCCCCCTGACTATTCAGTGGTTCCATCTGTAACAAGATCATTGACTCTCCCTCCTCTCTAAAAAGCAATGCAAGCCACAAAGTCTGGCAGACCCCAGGTTAGTACAAAGTGAGTGAGTGCTAAGAGTTATAAGACACATTCTGTGTAATCAACACTTCTCCAGGCACATAAGAGGCACAGCTGACACTTCACGGCACATACAAGTATATATTCTTACATCTGTGGTATTTAAGCACCACTCCACCCGGATTAGCCTCATCACATCATAAACCTCTGTCCAACTAGTGCTACTCTTTCCCCACTGTCCAATGTGGCCCAGCATTTTCTCAATGTTCAGTGTGGGACCATCACATACTTTTATTCAGTAATAGCAAAAGTGAACATAAAGCAAATTAAAAGCTGCAATTATAACTAGGAAGAGAACAGGACTGTGTGTCTTTCAAGCAAATCTACAGTTAATGAATGCTCACTGCACACAGCTTTCATCTACTGGGATAAGATATCAATTAAGTCCAGCTTGGCTGGTAGTGTTTGACACTACATTCCCCTGTCATACAGAAAGAAATATTCTTCCTGCTCAGTGTTATCTCTGCTCTCAGAAAACTTCTTCCACTCTCCCAACTCTTCAGGACTCATCACATCCACTTTTTGCTTGCCCTGCGTGTGCACAGCACAGCGAGCTCGGATTATGTGGCACACGATGTCTGGAGTGTACTGAAGGAGCCAGCTGCACAATAGTTCAATGCAGTTGACACGTCGATGGCCATCTTTGGGTGAGGCCGTAGCCATTTTCCATTTGCAATGCGCACTTTCTAGTCAATTGAATGTGGAAGACAACTCAGGTCATGCTTGGCCCAGTGGATTTCAGTTTCAACCTTTAAACAATGGCCATGATAAACTTCCATATCCCTTTCTTTCTCGCACTTCGTGGCCAGCCAATTAGAATTGATCCTTTGCATGTTCCCACACTCCTCGTGGAATTATATCTGTAGCTCTCAATATTACTCCCGAGTCCAGGTCATGAAGTTTAGTTATTTCTATCAATGCCTGCAACATTTCTTTTTCTGTGAGGCCAGGGTTATTCTGACTGTCAATGACCACCTACTCTTCCTGCAGTAACCCAGACCCTCCTATGCACTATCAATCCCCTATCTTATGTGATGAGTTTCCTCCCATTGTCTGGTTTGCTCCCTGGATACTGCCTACAATCCTCAGAATTGTTTTCTCCAACTTCCCCACCACAGCAGTGTCCCTTGATAACTCCCCTCGATTTTCATTTCACTGATCCCAGGACTATGGTAACATCTACTAACCTCCAATCCCCATCAACTTCAAAGCACAGCCCTAAGTGGGGATTGACCAGATTCCTGACTGATTTGCATGCAGCTCCTCGACCAATTTAACGCCCATGACTGTTTGCACAGGACCTACATTGCTGACTATGGTCCACTGTGGATGATACAGACACTTTGATTGTCTCTGCCACAAACAATTTTCTAGCCCCTGGACTGAGATGTGGTAATCCCCTTGACTTATTGAACCAGAACCTCTTGACTGACAGCTGTCCCACCAGATGTGGCTGGGGACTACTCCCCTTAGACTTTGAGACATGGCCATTTAGTTAAAGCCCATGCATTGTCTTTGCCACCTATTCTGCAGGCACATGCTATACATGTGGGATTGGCACAGTACAGTGGTGTATAGCAACCTGTTCACTTCCTGAACTGATCATTGCTGACAACCACAGCAAGTTGCCTGGCTTAGTGTCTGCACTAAACATTAAGGCAAGACAGAAGTACTGTGAGCCTTTATCCTCTGGCTGAAAGAGCTAAGGGTCAAAAGGCAAGGCAAGGCAAGGAAGCTATGAGCATTGAAGTAGGCACAAAGGGAAGGTTGCAAAAACACGGCCTTCCATTGAAATAACAGACTAAGAATATTTTGACCATGTGTTGAGAATTCAATTTATATCTAGGCTTATATCACAAGTATTATTGACATGATTTTATTTGTGGTCTGTTCTGTTTTATTCTTGTACTTTATAGGTTTCCTTAAGATTTTTATGGTGTTAACACTTACCTTAGACCACAGAACAGCTGATAATGCAAGGAGAGGGCTGGCAGCCAGAATTACCAGAGTTAGCTTCCATCCCCTTGCAAAACCAACTATTACGCCTCCGGCAAAAGTTGCGATATACTGGAACAAAAGTCCAATCTTATCCCCAATTCCCTCGTTGATTTTGTTGATGTCACTAGTCATTGAAAAACCACAATAAATTTCAGTAGAATAAGATGCTATCATTAACAGCAACAGTCATTTTCAGCAAAAATGCACTTATCTATCTTGTTTGAAAATGTAATATAATTATTACGCTGTTAGACGTGTATTGAGTTGTCCAACTGGGTTAACATCAAACCATCCAATCTCTCTTCTCAGTAAAGTGTGAAAAAATAGCTTTCGAAGTCTTCTCGTCTGTCTTGCTGAAGTCAGAACCCAAAAAGAAACTTGGATGTAAGCACATAGCAGTGCTCCTGCTCCAATTGCAACATAGTAATAGGAAAACCTAGGATGGAAGCAATGAATGTTTTGTTTCTGAAAATATCAATTGCTCTTCTATAAAACTAAGGATTCCAATTTTTTGTTGTTTATGTTTATAATATTTTTTAAAATGAACATCTGAGAATTTGTAAAGTCTGCAAGGAGACCTGTCACTTTATTGTATAATAGTTTCTACTAATTCAGTGTGGTAATTTCAGAAATGCAGGACAATTGCATATATATCTCTATATTACAATATTTTAAAAAGTATTTTTTACAATTGCACTTACTTAGCCATTTGTTCTTCAAAGGGCATGTCATCACAGTCTGTCAAATTTACTATAATAAACAACGATAAAAATACAATTACATTGCAGAAAATGTAACAGAAATATTTATTTATGATAATATTCTGTCTACACTGTGGCCTAATACTTAATTATGTTGAATCATGTTACATCATGTAATGTGGAGAAGTTCCTGACTCTGATCGCTCTGAGCAGTTGACCTTGAACTGGTGTTAGAGGCTGCCCTTCATTTACTCTCCTGGAAAACCCTGAGCAAAGAAAATCAAAATTTGATTTTTCTGAGGCGTGCTCATAGCCATGACAAACCTCCTGCCATTGTGTCTGCATTAAACAGTAAGACAAGACATTAGAACATAAGAACCAGGAGCAGGAGTAGACCATCTGGCCCCTCGAGCCTGCTCCGCCATTCAATAAGATTGTGGCTAATCTTTCCGTGGCCTCGGCTCCACTAACCCACCTTCTCAGCTTAACCCTTAATTCCTCTACTGTTCAAAAAATTATCTATCTTAGCTTTAAAAGCATTCAATGAGGAGGCCTCAACTACTACACTGGGCAGGGAATTCCACAGATTCACAACCCTTTGGGTGAAGAAGCTCCTCCTCAATTCAGTCCTAAATCTGATCCTCCTAATTTTGAGGCTCTGTCCTCTTGTTCTAGTTTTGCCTGCAAGTGGAAACAACCTCCCTGCTTCCATCTTATCTATCCTCTTCATAATTTCATATGTTTCTATAAGATCCCCTCTCATTCTTCTAAATTCCAATGAATATAATCCCCATCTATTCAGCCTCTCCTTATAAGCCAACCCTCTCAACTCCAGAATCAACCTAGTGAATCATCTCTCCACCCCTCCAGTGCCAGTACATCCTTTCTCAAGTAAGGAGACCAAAACTGCACACAGTATTCCAGCTGTAGCCTCACTAGCACTCTGTATAGCTGCAGCATAACTTCCCTGCTTTTAAACTCAATCCGTCTAGCAATGAAGGACAAAATTCCATTTGCCTTCTTAATTGCCTGTTGCACCTGCAAACCAACTTTTTGTGATTCATGCACAAGGACACTCAAGTCCCTCCACACTGCGGCATGCTACAATTTTTTACCGTTCAAATAATAGCCCCTTTTACTGTTATTCCTACCAAAATAGACAACTTCACATTTATCAACATTGAATTCCATCTGCCAGACCTTCGCCCACTCACTTAAACTCTCTGCAAAAATCCCTTCAGAATCCTCTGTACTCTTTGCTCTACCACTCATTTTAGTGTCACCAGAAAACTTTGACACATTACACATGGTCCCCAACTCCAAATCATATACATAAATTGTAAACAATTGCGGTCCCAGCACTGATCCCTGAGGCACTGCTTGCCAACCAGAAAAGCACTCATTTATCCCCATCTTTGCTTCCTGTTAGTTAACCAATCTTCTATCCATGCTAATACATTGCCTGTAACGCCGTGCACTTTTATCTTTTACAGCAGCTTTTTGTGTGGCACCTTGTCGAATGCCTTCTGGAAATCTAGATATACCACATCTACTGGGTCGCCATTGTCCACCGCGCTCATAATGTCTTCATAGAATTCCAGTAAATTAGTCAAGCATGATCTGCCTTTCATGAACCCATGCTGTGTCCGCCCAATGGGGCGATTTCTATCTAGATGTCTTACTATTTCTTCCTTGATAATAAATTCAAGCATTTTCCCTTCAAAAGAAGTTAAGCTAACTGGCCTATAATTCCCCAACTTTTTTCTACCTCCTTTTTTGAACAGTGGCATCACATTAGCTATTTTCCAACTGCTAGAACTGCCCCAGAGTCCAGCCAATGTTGGAAAACTACAACAAGTACATTTACTATTACTCCCATCATCTCTTTTAGTACCCTGGGATGCATTCTATCAGAGCCAGGAGACTTGTCTACCTATAGCTCCATTAGCTCTCCCAACACGACTTCTTTCGTGATAATGATCATATCTGGGTCGTCACCTACCTTAGTCTCTTTGTCATCAATTACTGGCATGTTATTCATGTCCTCCACTGTGAAGACTGACACAAAATATCTCTTCAATGCCTTAGCTGTTTCCTTACTTCCTGTTATTAAATCCCCCTCCTCATCGATAAAAGGACCAATGTTTACCTTAGCCACTCTTTTTCATTTTATACATTTATAGAAACCTTTGCTCTCTGTCTTTATATTCTGAGCTAGTTTAGTCTCATAATCTATCTTACTTTACTTTATAGTCTTTTTGTGGCTTTCTGTTGACCTTTAAAGTTTGCCCAGTCTTCTAGTTTCCCACTGGTCTTTGCCACTTTGTATGCCTTATCTTTCAATTTGATGGTCTCCCTTATTCCTTTAGACATCCATGGCTGATTATCCCTTTTCCTACAGTCCTTCCTGGTATATACTTTTGCTGAGCTCTTTGAAAAATTGCTTTGAAAGTCCTCCACTGTTCCTCAACTGTCTCACCATTAAGTCTTTGCTTCCAGTCTACTTTAGCCAACTCCTCCCTCATCCTATTGTATTCTCCTTTGTTTAAGCACAGGACCCTGGTATTGGATTTTATCTTCTCACTTTCCATCTGTATTCTAAATTCAACCATACTGCGATCGCTCCTTCCAAGAGGATCCCTAACTATGAGATCATTAATTATCCCTTTCCCATTACACAGGACCAGATCTAGGCTAGCTTCCTCCCTCATCTGTTCCATTACATACTGTTCAAGAAGACTATCGCAGATACATTCAATGAACTCCTCCTCAAGGCTGCCTTGACCAATTTGGTTTGACCAATCAACATGTAGATTAAAAACCCCACAATAATTGCCGTACTGTTTTTACAGGCATTAGTTATTTCTTTGTTTACTGCCCATCCCAATGTGATGTTATTATTTGATGGCCTACAGACTATGCCTTCCAGTTACTTTTTCTTCTTAGAATTTCTAATTTCTACCCAAATGGATTCAACGTTAATCTCCAAACAGAAGAAGTATAAGTTTGATAGCTCTAACTGAGGGGTCAAAGTGCACAATGGCAAGGTAAAGCAATTTAAAGCAGGGATACTGTGAGCATCCAGGTTGGCTCAGAGTGACTGAGCACTATGACAGCAAGTGAAGAGCCCAAAGCTTCAGCCTGGCAATATACATGACTTGGGTCCATATCTCTGAGCGCAAGTGTCCTTGCCGTAGCATTACAGTGAGAGGTGCCACTACAGCCCACCATGCAGCATTGAATTGTAGAAACATCCTGTAAGTGGATTGGAGATGTGCCATGAGGTTTCTTACAGATGGGTATGCCAACACCCATGAGTGTGGGGTGCAACCTGTACCCATGAAGCATGCCCTGAGATGTTGGCATCAACACCAACATGGACATCCTTTGGAACAAGCAGCAAGCTGAATTCACCAGGTATCCATGTCAAGTTTTCTTCAACATCCAGTTTGTTTGGCAAGTTTGGTAAAATAAGGAGCTAGATATTAATGATTTGAGTTGGGCCACTGAAAAAAAGTGTTTAACAAGCAATAATCTGCCTTGACAGACAACTCACTACTGCCTAGCATGAAATTCTCTGTGCTGCATGCTAAAAACATAAAAGGTGGCATATGATGCTCCCGATGTCAAGGTCTGCCTCGCCAAACTCCTCAACCAATTCTGCCATCTCACCGTGGACCATGTCACTCAGACCCTTACAAGACTCCCCCCATAGCTCTACATCCCCTCACATCACTCACATGACGCTACTTTCTTATTGGCCCCACAGCTAGTTTACAGTGCTTCTGTCACAAAACACCATACTTTAGAAATCTGTGCATCAAGAACAAACACAAGGACTATTGTTTGCTGTTTATCAACCCAAACTTGGGTGTTGACCAGTTCTTTATGCATATGGACACGGGCTGCTTCAAAATCCAAGGAGTCATAAATGGTATTGCGTATCATGAAATCATCAGAGAATGTCCCCACTTCTGACCTTCAGATGGAGGGAAGCTCATGGTGAACCAAATTTAAAATCAATTTAGCAGAAAAGGTCAGAGGAGGGTAGTGTGGAATAAGATATTTCAGGCTGGGAAATTAATCATTTATTTTGTAAACAAAATCTTCTGACTCCCATTATCTGAATGAAATGCAAAAGCATTACTTGGCAAAGGGCAATTAAGTTATGAAGTCTAATGTTGCAAAATGTAATGGGTCACCTTTTGCCGTACTGTTGCTTATTATTACTCCGTGAAAAGTTGCTTAAGCTGCACTTTGCTACCCATCAAGGAATAAAAAAATGAAAATATTATTCTAATTACATTTACAGCCAGGGATAGAATGCATTGCCTATATTATAAATAATTGCAATTTAATTCATCCTTTATTGAGTAAAACATCTCATAGTACATACACAACGTGACATTTGTCTAAAACATTGGTATTTGGTAAAAATGTGAAAAAAAGGTTCCATCACTTACTTATGCTTGATGGTTTCCGATGACATAATAATCATTTTTAAATGATAGTAAAATGGAAAAAAATCTTCCCTCCAAAATATCTGAATTTCTCTCAAAGAGACCCACTTGGAGAATTAACCTGACATCTGATGCTCTCGTGTGTATGATATTTTTCTGGTTGAAAGTGACCAGTTTTGAGACTGAAAGCCTAAAACTACTCGATTAAAGTATAAGAATTGTTCAGAACAGGAAAAATTCATTAAGCTTGCAATTTCTTGATAAACTACCCACCTACTCACTATATCACTCCTCTTCCCAAGAGGGCACCTGATTGTCTACTGAATGTGATTATTCTGTCCACTTCTTTCTTATTAATAACTTACTCTTGGAACTGTTGCTCACTGGTTGCAAGGAATTTTTACTAACTTTCATTCTCATTCCTAGCTTCTTAAATTTTAATTATAGACTGGATACTTAAAGCTACCATTACTATTAACAATTTATCTGGGAAGTGATGTAATTAGTAAGTTAGTAAACTACCTGCTGACTTCAATATTTTTGCAAGCTTTCATCTTGTTTTATTCAAGTAGAGTGCTTCATACCCATCGATTATCTCTCCTCTTTACAAAATAACAAAATATTTTTTTTTTTTAAAAAATGTACTAGTATGAAAATCTTTCCAAAACATTAAAGCTACTTACAGGTTGAATTGGCAGCTTGGCATATAAACCCATTTGTCATATCTCCAAAAACAACTGACAACAGCGGAAGGCAAATTCCATGAGCCACTGCAGCTATAATTCCAACTACCATCAGGAAAATATCTAGACCATCTGCAAAACGAAACTAAGATGTGCAAAGTGGATAAGTCTTCATCTCCTTACATGAATTTTGTGAAAATATACAAACATTATACCCCAAACTTTATGGGTAAACATGTTGTACCAAAATGATAGGCAAGATGGATTTTCTGAGTTACTGTATTAAGTGAATTGCAATCAAATAATTGGCAATCAATGTACAACAAGGTTTTAATTGTGCTATATTGCTTATATGCTATTTGTAGAAATGGACATTTCTCTCTTTTGCTTATTTCTAATGTTGGTTTAATAAAATGATAAAGAGATCAAATGATTCTTTTGTTAATGTCAGAATTGTGATCAGATTGAGAAAGATAAAAACAGGAGTTTATTATTTAGCTCCTTAAGCCTATTTCAGCATTCAATTTAATTATGGTAGATCCTTCTCAACTGTATGTCCCGTCTTAATTATATATTCCTTAATACATTTCAATCTCAGTTTTGAAGATGTTCTAATGCCCTAGACTCTAACTTCCTAGGGGAGAGAAATTTAAGTTCTTATACCTTTTGTAAAAAAAATACTTTTTGACATTTATCATTAAGCAGCCTGGCTTTAATGTTAGATTCTGCTCACTTGTTCTGGATTCCTCCATCAGATCAAATAGATTCTCTTTTTCTATAAATATTGATCATCTTAAACACCTGATTTAGACCACCACTTAATCTCTGATATCAAAAGGATACAAGCCTAATCTATGTTTGCACTCTTCATGTTTAATCCTTTTAGCCTCAGTAATATTTTGATCAATCTACACTGTTGCTCTCCAATCTATGCTGATCCTTCTTGTGATCTGCAAATCAGAGCTAAATGCAGCACTCCAGAGATCGTCAAACCACACCTCTGCTGATTGTAACATAATTTTCGCCATTTTGCATTCCAAACATTTTAAATACAATTAATACTAAAATACCATTCAGCTTTTAAATATTTTTCCACCTATCCACTGAGTCTTGTATTCTTTGTATATCCCATGTTTTATAAAGAAGCACCGTTTTGAAATGGCATTTCATACCCTGAAGAGTGGAGGCATGTAAAGATCATGTTTTTTGTTTCTTTTTTGTGCTGTTTAAAAACTATGACTGTTTTAAACCAGGGTTTTAAAAAGCTGCATGTTATCAAAGTAAGGAATTTGATTCCAATTATGAATGCTGTCTGTGTAGCTGTGCGTTCTAGTAATGTGCAGATGAACAGGAGTTGAAGGGTTGTTTACAAGTGAAGTTGATAAGCTGAGAGATAATAAGAACTGCCAATGCTGGAGTCTGAGATAACACAATGTGGAGCTGGAGGAACACAGCAGGCCAGGCAGCATCAGAGGAGCAGGAAAGCTGATGCTTCGGGTCAGGATAAGCTTGTTGCCTGGGGATGAATTTTCAATGACCAAGGTCACTTAGTTGAACAGCTTGGGCTGTGAGCAAGACAGAGAGAAACTAGTCAGACCAGAAGAGAACCCAACAAATCTGCAATAACCAAAAACTTTCTCTCTCTCTCAGTTCCCTATAGTAAGCCACTTTACATTTGAAGAAAAGTAACTTACCTTTTCTTCAGCAGATGCTGCAAGTTGTGATTTTGAATTGGATAAGTCAGAGACCTTTTATCAGTCAAACAGCCATGCTGCTCTGCTCTTGCACATGAGTGGAAACCATGCTAGGAAAAATGTAGGCTGAGGAGAAACCTACAAATCAGCAAGAACCAATGCAACAGATTTTGTAAACAAAGACTATGGAACTGTCTTTTCAGATTTCTCTCCAGCCATGTGTTTTTTTACTCTGTTTATATTTGTCTGTTTATATGCATTAGGGGGAGTTTATAAGGGGTTTAGAGTTTTAATTTGTAGCATTCACTTAGTTTACCTGTCACTAGAATCTGATGGCCTGTAATAAATAGTGATCTCTTGCTGAGTACACTAACTTGGACCATGCTTTCTCTCAACCTGGATCTAAAAATTAGATTGTTTTGGGATTTCGTGTATTTCTTTTAAAAGCTTTAACTTTTATGATAACTCCAGGAATAGCAGGGTTTGATATCTAACACACTATCCCAGTGAGCCGTGATAATGTGGGCCCCTAGATCTCTCAATTCATTGACACATCCTCGGTTCTTAGCATTCAGAAGTGCTCTGATCTATCACTTTCATGATCTATAAGATTTTCAAAGGATTCAATGTTAAAATTAGAGGAATTTTGTGACATACATAGAGCTAGAAATTTTATTCCAAATGTAGTCTTGTTAACCCTTCAGCAACTCAATACTTTTGAGAGAAAGCTAGATAATATACAATAGCAAAAGCAATAAGAGGATTTTCTGGTAAGATTATTATAAATAAAGATAGGATGAGGATAATGTGTACTGGGATGAGTTAAATCTTCTGTTCCTCCTGACCCAAAAGAAGTGACTGTTAAATCGCTTATTTTCTGGAACTGGCCATGCTTCCTTATCACTTTCAGGTTTTCTAAGCCAGCTTCATGGAGGAATCTGATTTAAATGGGCTTGTGAAATGCACTACCTCTCTAAGACAGAGTGTCGGGCTTGGGGAGGTTGTTGGGGGGATGGAGTTTTGAATTTAACGGCTGATGTAATGATGTAATTACTAATGCACTATCTGACATTAACTTAAAATATTTAAAGAGTACTGTGATAATCTTTACAAACAGCAACATTTTAAGATAGTATTACGTAGCCATTACTACATGGAAACAACACATTTGCTTCAACCTGTATGTGCATGTGTTACCTGCTCTTTTCCTATATTGTTTATTCCTCCTTTGAGTGAAGGGACTGCCTTGTGCAAGTAAAAAAAAAGTAAATTTCATAGAATTCCTTTTCAAATACTCAGTCCATAAACAGGCGGAAATTAATTTTTTAGAAGTCATGTTGTCCTTGCAGAGTGGACCATATATTGCATGTGAACAGTGAACACATGAAGTGTCAGTGAAATATTTAGGCCCAAAAGACATGCTCATATTATAACTGTTAACATTTCATTAGGTTTGAATCAGTTTTACACTGTACCTTGTACGCAGGTCTCAATTTGAAATTTCAGAGGAGTGAAACTTTCTTTAAATCAGGTGTACATACCATCTGAAGGGGGTTAACTGCTGGTACTTTTTCAACTTGTTTTTCATCTTTATTTTTGCTAGAAAATAACAGCAATGTACTTTTAAATATATACTGCTTCAACTTCAGCATGGAAGCAATGTTTTAATTTCTCAGGACATGACAACACTCAAAGCTTAAGAAGATGGAATAGAATCAACACGGGGTAATGCTCTGGATTAGAATCATATTTAATTTGTCATTTGTTAATTTTAAACATTTAACTCTCCACAACTGACTGACTGTTAATCCATGAGAAAAATAAAAAAAAGTGGGTGTGAAATTGGTAGTTTGTACTGATGCAAAACAGTTAATAATGCAGCCCATTAAAACATGCAGTCTGTCTACTCACTATGACATTGTTCACAATACCACTGAGATTAATTTCACCCTCAAGGAGATCAGGGTTTTCAACAGACCAACTATTTCCGAAAATCCATCTAAACATTCATTCTTCTCAGCCAAACATTACATTTCCTCAGTATTTCTCAAAGGTTTATGGCTCTTTGAGCAATGTAACTGAATGAGAGAATCAAAGTAGAATCAAAGGGGCCCAAAGTAGAATTTTAACCTATTCTGTCCTCCTCTCACTTCATGCTGGCATCCATCTCCTCTTTACTTCCACTTTCAAGCTGTCAATTATTTTCTTATTCAAATTAATATTCTTCTTTCAAACTGTCAGTATTCCTATCCACTCCTCCCTGTTTATTCAAAGATGTGATTCCTCCCTCAGTTAATGTTGGCACTATTCTTTCCAATTATTGTTATCACTATCCTTTCTTCCTTTTACCTCAGTAAATGTTAGCTATTTTACTTTCCCTTTCCCTGCATTAACATTTGTCTTCTGATCCCCATTCCAACTCCAACATTCCAGAAGTTTTCTCTTGACTCCTGACTATTCCCTCTAAAAATATTTCTCACATATCCCCCCAAAAGAGGACAACTATTCCAACTCCCCCAAAACTCACCCGACGTCTCTCCTTTTAATTCTTAACTAAAAGTGTCACTGCTGCCTCCTTTCCCTCATCCTGAAAACTACTTCCAGCTCATCTCTTCTGCCCAACTTCTCAAAGAATTTCTTAATTTTGACCTCGCTCACCTTCATTTTCCCTCAGTATCTTTCTTACACAGAGCCTGTTTCTGCTATAAATGTTTCTGACATCTGTCTAGTGTGGACTAGAGTTCTGATCTTGTGAGATGTGCTGCTTGCGGTAGGCAGTAACTGATATTACAACAAGTACAGGAAATCTGAAGGAATGGAGAAGAGGGAAGAAGAAATGCTGATTTTCACACGGCCATTTACATTGATATACTGTAATATTATTATTCACAACAAATCTAGGATATTTTGAAGAAAGTAGAAGAACAAAATGACTGATACAAATATGAGATTTTATAGTGCAAAATAGTTTAAATAATAAATTATTTGAAATTAATTCATGTCTATCGACCCCATATTCTGCAATAATGATAGCAATGTAGGTAAATATCTCAAAATTAGAGCTCCTGCAAAAAAAAATTAATATGAACGCAATATTTTCTACACATTAAGTTAACAATCTTTCCTGGATATGAGCCATACCATTGAAATAAAAGTTAAGGCTTTGATAAATAAAATGGAAAATATATCCACAATATGTCGCTCACAGCCAGAAGCCATGTTGAATAAAGGATGTGTTGAAGAATCAAGGCCACGGTGTTAAGGTCCTATTTCTGTCCATCCATTTTCTAAAGCACATTTCCTTGCTGGGATCATGTGATTATAGGATCATCCTATCAAATAGAAGATGGCTGAATGACTGTGGTGTCATCAGTCAACTCTTAAGAATTTAGTTCAGTGACTTGCGTATGTGATGTTGACAGTTTATTAAAGGTGACGTTAAGTCAGGACATGGAATTTTATGAGGTTGTTGGCTTGCTCACTGAGCTGGCTGGTTAGCATACAGATGTTTCATCACCATGCTGGGTAACATCATCAGTGTGACCTCCGATGAAGCAAAGTTGTTCTAATCCTCTCGGCATTTATATGATCCGGTCTGTTAAATTGGTTTATGTCATTTCCGGTTCTGTTCTGCATGGGTTTGAATATGGGGTCTAATCCCATATGTTTGTTGATTGCATTATGGGTTGACAACCAGACCTCTAGGAATTCCTGTGCACGCATGTGGTTGGCTTGAGCTAAAATGTCGTGTTGTCTCAGCTAAATTGATAGCCTTCACTGTCTGAGTGCACTGAGATAAGGGATGGTTTGCTATGTCGTTTTGCTGCTAGCTGGTGTTTGTGTATCCTGATGGCTAGCTTCCTTCCAGTCTGACCGATGTAATGCCTGTGGTAGTCATTGCAAGGTATTTTGCAAACTACATTGGTCCTGCATGCCATGGATACGGGGTCTTTGGCCCTTGTGAGTGTTTGTCGTAGTTTGGCTGTGGGTTTGTGTGCTACCATGATTCCTAGTGGTCACAGGAATCTCGTTGTCAGTTCTGATATGTTGTTGATGTAGGGTAGTGGGACCAGTGTTTGGGGCGCACTGTGTCCTCTTGGTATGGTCTACCTAGTAGGCACCTGTGGATTAAGTTGTTGGCATATATGTTGTTAGTAAAGACTTTGTAATAAGTGCTCTTCCTCCTTCCTGCATAGTTCTGGTGTGTTGCAGTGACCAAATCCTCAATTTCCACAGCAATTACCCCAACGTCCACAAACAAAGCTGTGTTAGAGCACTATTCAAATGGTCCACAACTCACTACAGCATGCCAGAACAATGCAGGAAGGAGGAATAGCACTATTATAAACTCACAGCCAAATTACGACAACCACTCACAAGGACCAAAGACCCCATACCCATGACATGCAGGACCAATGTAGTTTACAAAATACCTTGCAAAGACTGCAACTAACATTACATCGGTAAGACCGGAAGGTAACTAGCCATCAGGATACACGAACATCAGCTAGCAGCAAAACAACACGATGAACTTTCCTCATCCCAGTGCACTTGGACAGTGAAGGCCATCAATTTAACTGGAACAATGTGACCATCCTAGCTCACGCATGAGAATTCCTAGAGGCCTGGTTTACAACCCGTAATGCAATCAACAAACATGTGGAATTAGACCCCATATACAAAGCTATGCAGAACAGAACTGAACAGAACAACCCAACTTAACAGACCAGATCATTTAAATTCCAAGCGGAGTAGAACAACATCGCTTCAATGGAGACTGCACTGATGATGTTACCTAGCATGGTGATGAAATGTCTGTACGATTACCAGCCAGCTCGGCAAGCAAGCCAACAACCTCATCCACAACCCGAGCTACAAACCTTTGCAAGATCCTTAAGTGGAATTTTATTGTGTAGTTTCATTGAGAAGAACCCACCACTTACTTTTTTCTATGATTCTCCTTAGGATTTTCCAGTGCATTTTCCTTGTACTTCACTTTGTTAAATTCACCATTTCCCAAATTTGCACTGTCTGGTTCCATTGTTATCTGAAATAACAACAAAACTGAATGCACTTCACGCTAGTGAATAATTCATATTCTTCAGCATATTAAATGTTGTAAAAATCAGAAGAAAAATTAAACAAGCTGTTTAACAAACAAGCTTTAAGCACAGGTAGATGCCTTATTCCTGTTATCACTGTATTTTTCAATGCTATATTTACTTATGACATGCATCCAGGATAGTGGGGCTTGAACGTAGGCCCTGGCTCAGAGGTACAGATACTGCTACTGAACCACCAGACATTTTTTTCTCCAATATGCATGGTTCTAATCACAATGTTTAGAAATTTCATTGAGTTAAATGAGAGATTAACCTTTTGCAGAAGAATAGGGGCATGTTAATGGTACTTTACATTATTAACTTACAAATGGGCCAGAACGTCCGGGGCAGTAAGAGATATATTGCGAGTTGTGAATCTCCAGAAATTGCTGATTGGCATGTGCTACTTAGGTGTTTGTTTCACATGAACTTCCTCATTATCTGTCAAGAACTTGCTGGATTTGCACATTAATTTCCTAACAAAAATTCCATAGAAAGTTGGGGTTGGAACAATAAGTACATTTTTGATAACCTGCTATTGTTAATCCTTACTAATTAACCTCTCTGGCCTAGAAAGGGGCCATTTAAAATATTCAATCTCATTCATGCATGAAGTTAATTGTCGCTTTTAAAAATACTGCAATTTTTTAAAAAAACAACTTTTCCCTTTCGTTTACCTCCTCCTTTTATTAAAACCTCTCTCTAACTGTATTTATTTTTCTACATTCCTCCTTGATTAAGGAGATACGGTTATGGTACCACCATTAACACAGGTTCCAGATGCTGTCCCCCTTTAACAGCTCACACTTCCAACCAGTCAGGGTACAAAAAAAAATCCTTGAACAAGAAAATGTCTAACAACCTGTACCTCCAGAGGCTGACTCCAGCAAAATCTAGCCCAAAATATGAGTAGCCATAAGGCTACAACGAATGTAACTCCACAGAGTACTAACCTGCTGTATCCTATGGGCAGCTGGTTGTACTTTAAGCTTATTCAGAGAAATGGTAGCTTCTCCTTTCTGAACTTCGATATGTACTATGTGACACTCCCATAATTATAAATTACACATTATCATAGTATTGAAATAAATGCAGTTTTTTTCATGTTAGTCACACCCGACAAAAGCAGTTTCAGCTAGCAATATCATACTATAACTTGATTTGGTTGAATGAGAATCCAATGTCAGGGGCCAAGGACCTTCATGTAGGACACTGCCAATATTAAACTGAGTAAAAGATAGGATGACATAACTCCAAGGGTAATGATTAGGTGCTGCTAAACTTAGTTTTAAAAGGGCTGTAAAAATCATGTGACAGTGGAAAAATAAAGGACAGCAAGTGAGCGAAGTATTGCCAATCGTCGTAAGTGTTTCCCTGTCCAGGAGTGCAAGTGAAACGCAGACTCACTTCTAATCACCCAATATTAATTTACATAGAAAGGTCAGTTCAGCATTCAACAACAACTTACATTTAACAGTACTTCTCATGTAACAGTGTGTCTGAAGATGGTTCACAGTTTGCAGTTACATTGCTCACTGAATACCTGGATAAGGAACAGAGAAACGACAGTAGATCATTTAACCCATTAGCCTGTTCCATCAGCTCTGCAGTCTCCTCTTCCACAGAGGTTGGTATTCTCATTTCCAAGACACTTCACACCCTGTTTCCCTTGCCTGCTCCCTAGTTTTACTCATGTTTTTGATCTGCAGACAGGAAGGATGATTGTGAGTTCTTTGAATGTGTGGAACAACATCTTCCTGCAAGTGGTCCAACTTTCAAATCATCAACTGGTTCCCACACTTGGTCCACATGTTCCATCAAACCCAACTTAGGGAAATAGTGCCATAGTAGTGCAGTCACAGGGTAGTAACTCTGGGGCGATGAGTTCAAATCCCATCATGTCATCTGGCAGAACTAAAATAAAGGTAGTCTCAGTAATGTTGACAAATATCACCCAATTCTAAAAACCCAATTGACTCAACAGTATGCTTCACAGAAAGAAATCTGCCAGCCTTACCCAGTGTGACCTAAATGGGATTCCATCACAATGTGATTGGCTGTTAACTGCCTACTAACCAGCTATTCAATTCAAGGACAGTTAGCAGTGGGCACAAATATTGGCCTTGCCAGAGATACCCACAACCAATGTAAGAAGGAAGAGGGTCCTCCTGCTTGCATCCCATTATGCCCTTATAAGTGCTACTTTGTCATGACTACAACATGTCCCTTGCCATGGTGGAGTAGAAGACATTGTTGACCCTATTTCTACACTGGATTCACTTCCACTCATGGGGCCATGGCTAGAAACAGGACGGTGTGCCAATCTCAGATGGTCTGGAGGAGAACCTGCATGGAAACATAACTAAAATGTGGAGCAATTCATCTGCACTGGGGTATCATTCCAAAATACTGAAATTAAGTGAAACTCAGTGAAACTGAAAGGGTTCCTTTTGTTGCAGCCTGAATGCCCAAAAACCTATCACACTGCCAGTGAGATAACAAGGTGTAGATCTGGATGAACACAGCAGGCCAAGCAGCATCAGAGGAGCAGGAAGGCTGACGTTTCGGGCCTAGACCCTTCTTTTTTCTGAAGAAGGGTCTAGGCCCGCAATATCAGCATTCCCACTCCTCTGATGCTGCTCGGCCTGCTGCGTTCATCCAGCTCTACACCTTATTATCTCAGATTCTCCAGCATCTGCAGTTCCTACTATCTCTGAAACACTGCCAGTGAAGTAGCTTAAGCCAAGTGACTGTTAGTAAACTGATGGAATACTTTTTTTTAATAAAGATCCCAATACAAAGATTGAAAAGAAGAGTCCAAATGGTGGATTTCTGAAGTCCCATTGTCAACAATTTGCCATTTGGTGGAAATTTGTCATTGCTGTACATCTGTGACACTTCAGATGTCCTCTATCACTTTGTAAATTTTCAAATTCCAGGCCATAAGCAGTTCCATTTTAGAATGGATGTCTAATTTCTCTACACCTTCATTTGTCACCACAATGGTCTGAAGGCTCTCCGCTTCTTCCTTGAATGAAAACCAAATCAGATTTTAATCCCACAGTGGAAGCTGGTGGAATTTGAATGCAATGAATCGAACTAGAGTATGAAACCAGTCTCAGTAATGATGCCATAAAATTACCATTGATTGTCCTAAAACCCATCTGGTCTCTCTTGCCTTCTAGGAAAATCTGCAATCCTTCCCTAGTTCAGCCTACATGTGATTCCAGGTATACAGCAATGTGGTTGACTTTTAACTGCCCTCTGACATGGCCTAGAAAGCCACTCAGTTCAAGGGAAATTAACGATGGGCAAAAAATGCTGACCTTGTTGGCAGCACCCACTTCTTATTCAAGAATCCCTTCTTTTTTGTGGGATATGTCAAAATTTCTTGCTTGCGCCTGCTGCTTCAACTCTTTCCCCAGCACAATGATGACTGTATCAGTGTGGTATTTTGCCCTCCTCTGATTTGGAAAACTTCTTCAGCCTAGCTTCTAGTTTTGACGCTTCTTTCAATTTGAGTGATCCATCTCAGACCCCTCCCTTCCCTTTCTTCACTTCTCTGTCTCTATTTCTGAAAACTGGCTGCTAACAAATATACATTAAAGGCTCAATGACCCCTCCAACCACTTCAGCTACCCATCCACAAACCTGATGCCCTTTAGGGACAAAATTCCATCAGTTCTGATGAAGCAAACTTCTACAATAGAGCTTCGGTGATGTCTTCCTTTTTAGCACCATCACTATTCTCTTTGGTGCTGAAGGACTATTTCTTCTTTCATTCAATCTTCCCTGTATTTCAACCTACAATTGCAACTTAGAATGACAGAGTCATACAACATGGTGACTGAGCTTGTGTTCCAACAAATCCACGCTGATCATGTTCTCAAACTAAACCAGTCCCACCTGTCTGCTCCTGGCTCATATACCTCTAAACCTTTCCTATTCATGTGCTTATCTAAATATCCTTCAAGTGTTGTAACTGTACACACATCCACCACTTTCTCCGGCAGTTCATTCAACATACAAACCACTCTCTGTGTAAAAAAGTTGCCCATCTTGTCCCTTTTAAAGCTTTCTCCTCTTACCTCAAAAATATGCATCTAGTTTTAAACTCCCCCACCCTGAAGAAAAGAATCTTGCTTTTCACCCTATTTATGTCCATCATGATTTTATAAACCTCTATAAGGTCACTCCTCAACCACCTACGCTCCAGTGAAAAAAGTCCCAGTCTATCCAGTCTCTCCTTATAAGTCAAATCCCCCATTCCTGATAAACTCTTCTGAACTCTGTCCTCTTAGTAAGATACTTCCTATTACAGGTGACCAGAACTGTACACAGCACTCCAGGAGAGGCCTCAACAACGTTACATGCAACCTCAAGATGACGTCCCAACACCTATACTCAAAGGTGTGAGCAATGAAGGCAAGTGTGCCAAATGCCTTTTTAACCACCCTGTCTACCTGTGACACAATTTGCAAAGAATTTCGTCCCTGAATCCCTAGGTCCCTCTCCTCTACGACAGTACCCAGGGCCCTACCATTAATTGTATAAGTCCTGCCCCAGTTTGTTTCAACAAAGTGCAAAACCTCACATTTATCCAAATTAAACTCCATCTAATCCCATTGGCCCAACTGATTAAAGTGTCCTTGTTCCATCCAGCTCTTGCTGAAAACCAATTATATTTTTAACTTGACTCAATTCTGATGAAAGGTCACAAACCTGAAAAAGTAACTCTGTTTCTCTTTCTCCACAGGTGTTGCCAGAACCAGCTGAGAATTTCCAGCATTTTCTGTCTCTATCATAGAATAATGCAAGTTTACAGCAAAAAAAACACATAAGCACCAGAAATAGGAGCATGATTAGGCCATTCAGCCCTTCATTCCTACCCCACCATTTAACAATATCATGGTTGATCTGCCCCAGGCCTCATCTCCTCTTAAGTGCCAGCTGTCAACTGCCTGATATTTTAAAAAATCTATCTACTGTTTCTTTAAATATACTCAGTGATCTAAACCACCACAACTCTCTGAGGTACAGAATTCCAAACATCCACAACCCTCTGGCAGAAGAAATTTTGTTGCATCTTAGTTTTACATGAGTGTCCCCTTATCCTGTAACTATGTCTCCTAGTTTGAAACTTCACACTAGTGGTGACGTCTTCTCAACATGTACCCTGTCAACCCTTTCAGAATCTTTCAATCAGATCATTCCCCATTCTTCTAAATGTCCTAAACTGTTTAACTATCCTTGATAAGTCAATGCTATCATCCTAGGAATCAGCCTTGTGAATCTCTATTGAACAGCCTTCAATACCACTCTATCTTTTCTTAAATACAAGAACAAAAACAGTACACAGTAGTCTAAGTGCAGCCTCACCAGCATCCTGTACAGTTGTAATAAGGTTTCCATATTTTCAAACTTCAAATCCCTAGCAATAAAAGCCAAAATTCTATTTACCTTGTTAATTATTGCTGCACTTACATAATAACTTGATGTGTGTCATGCACACGAACACTCAGATCTCTCTGCACCATCTTTTAGCACCATCACTATACTCCTCAATGCATTCTTCTTTCATTCAATCTTCCCTGTCTTTCAACCTACAACTGCAACTTAGAGTGACAGAGTCATACAACATGGTGACAGTTCTTTCATTCCAACTAATCTGCGCCGATCATGTTCTCAAACTAAACTAGTCCCACCTGTCTGCTCCTGGCTCATATACCTCTAAACCTTTATTATTCATGTACTTATCTAAATATCCTTCAAGTGTCTTAACTGTACACACATCCACCACTTTCTCTGGCAGTTCATTCCACATACAAACTACTCTCTGGATAAAAAAGTTGCCCATCTTGTCCCTTTTAAAACATTTTCCTCTCACCTGAGGAAAAGACCCCTGCTATTCACCTTATTTATGTCCGTCATGATTTTATAAACCTCTATAGGTGACTCCTCAACAACCTACGCTCCAGTGAAAA